AATGTGATAAATCTGATGTCTTGTCTTATGGGTAGCACTGACTATGTGAATCATGTCCGAGTAGCATCTTTTATTGTTTCTTCCCTGTATCTGTCAAACACAAGTCAATCTCCTGATAGTTAGAACCTGCCTTCAGAACTGCTTTTACGTTAACTAGGCAAGTAAACATGACATATGAAGTCCCCACACCCATGTTTTCAGCGTTAGGGAAAGTGATTAAGACAGTTTCACTATAATCAAATCAGCAATGAGTGCTACACTGTCACACTGTAGCAATTATTCGAATCTGAATTTAATTTTACAGTTAAATACTGCGTTGCCATTGAGATGTAAACATATTGGATCGCACAACTGCCCCTTTTACCTAGATTTAAAAAAGATTACCTTATTAATGCAATGGAGGGATTTGCTGAATCAAGTAATTCATTTGATGCAATGTACAGACTTAACATTTAAAATGGAATTTTTTCAAACATATTTTCTTTGAATTTTCCCCATATATTATTAATGGATGAAAAAACACTTGTTATCGTGTTCGATATGGCTTTAATAAATCAACCCGTGTGAATACATCATCAAAAATTCAATTTAAATAATAATTTAATATTCAAATCAGCGTTATAAACAGCGCATGGATAATTTTATAGCTGATAACGAGGTATTACATTCTTATGAACTAGATATTATCAAGAATATCAGTTGGTAAGGATTTTCTCTCACACAAAAGAATCATCAATACAAATGTGAAAAATGGAAACTGATAACAACGCGTGCAGCCTCTTCTAGCTGCAACCAGAGCCCTCATTCCATGCAGAGAGGTTTCTGAGAGTATGATCCAATATTGTGTTACACGCATTAGTCAGAGCTTGCCTAAGCTTGTGCCGATTTGTAGGGTGGACCGTGCCACCGTGGACGGGTAAGCTCTTGATTCTGCTAGCGATTTATGCCCACAGGTTTTCTATAGAATTCATGTCAGGGGAATTTCGTCGGCCAAGGCAACTAATTTACCTCTTGGTTTTGCAGAAAAGCAGTTATTGCATGGGCATGGTGTGGTCGGGCATTGTCATCTTGCAGGATGAAGTTGTCCTGGAAGTATCTTCTTGCAAATTGCAAGCAAGTATTCTCTAAAATGTCCCTGTATTTTATCTGGTTGAGGTTTCCGTCAATTGCCACCAATAGTGTTTTGGCTCCAGAGTGGAAACCGGCCCATACACAGATACTGCCACGGCCACAAGTCACTGTAGTGTGACACAATCCTCGTCTGGAAACCTACTGACTCTGATTCAGCCATCGCGGTGGTGGAACTCAAGCCCTGCCTCATCTGTAAAAATCTACATTAACCCAGTGCTGTGCCTGGAACCGCAATTGGCGTCTAGCCCACCATGTTGCTCTGTTCATAGAGTTAACCAGCTAAAAGTAGCCTTGCATTCACTAGAGTTCTAGAAACATGCTTTTAAATGGTAATTTGCCACTCATTTTGTACAGCAAGTGTTGTCTTTGTCCGGTTGTTGCGACATAACCGCAGAAGCAAGCGGTCTTCCCTTCTGGTGGTGACTTTAGGACATCCTGACCGTGATCTCTGTGTTAATGCACCAGTCTGGGCGTGTCTCTGTAAGACGTTAGAAACTGCTCCCTGGGACACATTCAGCTGTCTGGCAATAGCAGTTTGCTTCTTTCCATTCTGGCATAATGCAACAATAGTGTGGCAAGTTGCTGCCGTTAGTTCACATACCGTAAGGTCAGCTAAGAGTCTGCAAAATATCAAACTCTTCTGACTGGACGTTGTCGAAATATAGAGACTTATTCTGCAGAACTGCTGCCCTTTTATACGCATTCTGTAACCAGCCAAAGAGGACTGCTCAGAGAAACTGCCACATATTACGTAAGGCAGGCCCTGACCCCCCCCCCCCTTCGAATTCTGGTCCCCCCTTGAAATTNGGGGGGTGGTCAAGCGGGCCCTGACCCGGCCCCCCTTTGAATTCTGGTCCCCCCTTGAAATTATAATTTTGACTAGCTGAATCGTAGCCATACCAAATGGCACCGTTCGCCCTCTTAAATACCAAAATTTTTCCTGGCCCTTCAACAGGCCCCTAACTGTTGGGGAGGGGAGGCTTTGCATCCGCGGACTCCCCCTTCAAATAATCCTGGATCCGCCTCTGCTCACCTTGCCTTATAATTGATGGGCAAGCACTGACAATTTCACTGGGAAAGCCTGACAATGCAGTGACCTTTGGTAGTTTGGCTGACACGTACGTAAGAGCAGTTCTGAAGGCAGGTTCTAACTATCAGCAGATTGACTTGTGTTTGACAGATACATGGAAGAAACAATAAAAGATGCTACTCGGACACGATTCACATAGCGATTTCGTTGAGACCAAATCTGTAACAGAAAGGTTAACAGAATACGTATTCTGCCCTTATGAAATTAAACTGAATGACTCCTAACCCAGTGGCGGATTTAGAGAAAGGGGTCAAGCAGATTGACTAATGTTTGACAGATACAGGGAAGAAACAATAAAAGGTGCAACTCAGACACGATTCACAAAGTCAGTGCTACCCATCAGACAAGAAATCTGATTAATCACATTCCCTGACCCTGAGAACATAGGTGTAGACACTTCATTTGTCATGTTTGCTTGCCTAGCTACAGAGATACAGAAGTAAAACGGTTTTTCAGTAATGGCGATCTTAATTTGCATATTTAGGAAAATTGCGTAAATCTAATTCTAACAGAAACATCTTAATAATGTTCCTCGACCCTGAAAATATAGGTAAAGACACTTCATTTGTCATATTTGCCTGTCTAGTTCCAGAGGTATTGCAGAAAATAGGAAATCTGGCGGCCATTTTGTTTTTTTGCAAATTAGACCGTTAAAAATGCAAAATTTCGCTTGGGAACCGGGTAAATCGGATTCAGCATCCCAAAATTATGCTAATAAGCCTGGTTCCCAACTTTTACCCCAAAATGCCCCTTGCCTCTTATGCAGAGCCTTTTTTCAAAAATCTCACTAGACTATTAGCCCCAGAGCGAACGTGTTAGGCCCCTATTTCACACAGACCACGAATCCCACGAATCGCCAGGAATTGACAAATTTCAGGATTCGTGAGGATTCGTGAGATTTTGCCAATTTTCTGGTCTTATTCGACACGCTCACGATTCAGTTACGATACAGGTACGATAGTGTTACGAATATTCGTGGAATTTGGCTGGAATCGTGAGATTTTGCCAATTTTCTGGTCTAATTCGACACGCTGTATCAGTTACGATACAGGTACGATAGTGTTACGAATATTCGTGGGATTCGGTTGGAATATTGTCCAGAAATTCACTACGATTTTTTGGAATCGGGAGTTCGTGGCCAAAACTTTGACTAGCTCAAAATTTTGCCACGAATTCCCGATTGATCAAGAATTGCAATAACTGGCTACGATTATATACGAATCTGCTAAGAACTTCACGAACTGATTACGATTCAACCACGAATCCTGAAATTGTCAATTCCTGGCGATTCGTGGGATTCGTGGTCTGTGTGAAATAGGGGCATCAAAGCTTTTGCCACCAATTCCTGTTGGTCAAGAAGTGCAAGAACTGACTACGAATAGATACGAATCTGTTAAGAACTTCACGAACTGATTACGATTCAACCACGAATGGTGAAATTTGTCAATTCATGGCCATTCGTGGGATTCGTGGTCTGTGTGAAATAGGGGCTTTAGCCGTACCCACAGGATATAGTAAAACTGTTGCAGAGCCGCATTTTGCAACTGCAAGAAAATCGTGAGAATTCAGTTTGCAACTGGAACACATTTTGCAACCAGGATTTTTTTCTAAGTCACTTAGCTTCGCTTAATTTAATTTGGTCAGGCTGTCTCTTGGGAGGACGATTATATACATTTATAACTTAATCCACATTGGTATTTCTTAGACTGTCAGAGTTAAGAATTTTTAAATATTAAAAAACGTCGGGGATTAAAGACTATTTGGAATTTTATTGTGACTTGGGGTGTGGTCGTCCCTGGGGTGGTAAATTCTAATTTTTACATCGGTATTTTTGCTATTTACTTATCAAGTGGAACATGGACAGGCTCTTAGGATGCATTTGATTATTTTATTTTATTTTTTGTGTGAATTGGGGTGTAGCCATCTCTGGGGGTAAATCTAATATATATATATATATATATATATATATATATATATATATATATATATATATATATATCGTATTTCTGATATCTACAGGTATCTTCAGACCATTAAAGGATGTCTTTCCGCTGTAGACGCTTAAATAGGCCTTTCTCTGAAACTTTGCCTATTTGATCCTGAACCCCGAAGCATGTCTCACACGGAACCGTTGAGAAAATAAAGGTCAAGGTATAGGTTTTTAAGATCACTTAAAGAAAAAAAAGCGCAGCATTTTTTTTTCGTCTAAACTTCTCGCCATTACTCCCCTACGCCTGGAATTCTGGGACTTGCCTCAATTTGCATATGACTGAATACTACTGTTTACTACGCTCTGGAGAAGACCCGGATGTCACTGCAAACCGAGATGGAGGGTAGTCCGAGCACACGTGGGTTGAAAGAGAGAGGAATAACTCTACGGGACAATGCAAAAGGAAATAAAACGGGAAATGCAGAAGCAGAGGATGTTATTTTCATTGGCAGGCCAGTGAGGTAGACAAAGCAGAAGTAGGAACTAAAACTGACACGCGAGAAACTGACAAAAATTTTGCCAGATACGGGTAGGTTATTTCGACCTCTTATTACGTCCGACTCTTTTATTGAGAACATATTCAGGAGGCGGATTTAGGCCGTCTTCTGGTTCTTCCGGAAGACGGTTAGATTTTTAAGTTTTCATTGACGGGTATATGTAATATTTCTGTCGAAAAGCGGTCAAAAATGGAGGATGGATCAACATAACTCGGAAGACTGTCAGAAAATATTTCCTGTTATCCCTGCCGTACGCAAAAAAGTTTATTATTCTTTAGAGCAGTCAGTACAAACAAGGATTGAGCTAAAAAGTCTTCTATTAAAGACTGTTTTTGTCGGCTTACTTAACGTAGTAATATACTCAAGTCCAAAAAAAAAAAAAAAAATTAAAAGATTTACTTAAAGCGAGCAGATTAATTGCAGCATCTGATGGTAGTAGATGTTTATTCTCTGTTTACATTTTTTTAAAGTTGACTTCATGGGGAATCTCTGGGGAATGAGGATAATTTCCTGGAATAATTTTTTTTAATCCAGGTAATATGCATGTGGTAACATCTACCCCTACATCGGGTTCAAGGCCAGTCTTGTTCTAACCGTGCAACATAGAGCCAGAGCCAAAGTAAGTACCTGACACCCAGAATCCAAACACACAATAGCTGTTCATTTAACCATGTTTACCATGTACACCTTGCCATCAATACAAATCTAATGCATTTTAGTACTTGGAACAATGCCATTTTATTATAAAGTTTAATACTTCCATGGCAGGTTTGTCCCAGAATTGTGACAAGCACAGGATATCAGTATTTATTGTGAGGAACATTATATAATAAGTTGAATTTTGAAACAAATAATTTTGATAATCATGCTCTATTCAGTGCTCTTATGTCTGGCATACACATTACATATAGTGGGTGCTATTAATTTCACAAAAATGCATTGAAGTCTTTCCAATAGTCAATGTTTTGCTTTTAGGTATACTAAGCAGCAAAGCAAGCACTCAAAATCATGGATGACAGTAAGACCTGAAGCTGTTACATAAACAATTAGCACAAATAAAGGTACATTCCAGTCTTACAAACCAAGAATTTGACATGGGAATTACAAGTACACATTTCTTAGCAGCCATGGTGCAGATGGAATCAAGAGACTCAAGACACCGTGGTCCTTATATGTATATAAGAATTTTTTTATCAAAATGATAACTTCACATAAACTGTTTTTTTTTTTTTTTTTAATAAATCTATCCAGACATACATTATTTCCTGGTAGGATATAACTTTGAAAATGATTGATTTTATGAACAGATTATGTACAGAGTTGCATTTTACTTTTGGTATGAGGAACAGATAAATGAAAGCACCTTATTTTTCCATGCCTTTATTTTTTATGTTTACTAAATTGTTGCACAAATTACAGTAGAATGAAAAGAATCCTTCTACTTAGTGACTTGCATATTACAGGTTTTATGAAGGTTTGGTCAGTAAACTGATACTCGTGGTAATAGTTATTCTGTGATTTTCTTCAGAGAAGTAATCCAGCAAATTCAACAGCAGTCAAAATGTAGGGGCCATAACAGTGAGCAGGAGATGGGCCAGTCCCAGTAAATTCTCCAGCAAAAGCATCTTTATTTCCAGTGCAAGGCCAGGATTTTCGTCACACTGGTCACAATGCATTCAGCACTTTTCTTGGCAACACCATAATGTATGCTCTGATAATGAAAAAAAAAAGTTCACTTTTATATCTGTTTTGATATTTACAATAGCTTACTGCAAAAATAAATTATTTGAAAATGTATTAACACTTAAATAACCATAAGGGCTGGATTTAACACCACCAAATTTAATTGAATAAATTTACTTTGAAAATAAGAAGGAATATGAATGGTGTTTGTGTATTGTGAGAAACTTAAAATGTATCTGTTCAATAAAGATTTAATGAGTTTCATACCTCTTCTGTGAGTTACTGAATTCTCCTTTCATGTCCTTGGGTCAATCCTATTGATCTCACACCTCTTCCAAGCCTTGTACCACTGGACCTAGAAGTGCTATATGTAACACTGCCAACTCTACTAAACCTTTATACAGGGCTTTTTTCTAATGAGGCTGACATCACAACATAGTATGCTATAAAATAATAATAAAACTAATAATAATAATAATTGGCACTGATTTAATTGCATGCTAGTTATAATGTTGTGAACAGTTCAAAATGGGTTTCACTTCAATTTATCATTGTTCTGCACTCAAGCGTATCAATTGTTAATCCCTAAACTAATTTTTTTTGTATGTGTGGATTATTACATGTGAATTTAGGTGAGGGTTAGGTGGGTCCTACACATTACTGTCAAAACTAAGGAATGTGCCAGATTAATTAAAAGGCCTGTATTATTTAAAAATAACACAAAACTCTTTACCTCAGGGAGCTCTTTACCCTCTAGTTCTGGACTGCTTTGACTGCTTGCCTCATCAACAATAGGCCTACTCTCGATCTGAAAGGTATAAAAAGATCGACTAGAAAAGCAAGATAAGATACGTGTGTGCGTAACACAAAATTCATGCACTCCTATTGACGATTATGACATCTGCACGATGCTCACCACTACTGCCAGTAAGTATCAAAATCGTCTGGAACGCATTTGTAGTCCGTGCTACGTTGTGCGTGCAAATCGCGGTGTCAAAATTGCGTCTCACAAAGCATAGCAAACAACAAAAAAGTAACAGTCGTTCATAAATATCCAACCGAAAAGGGCTGGTTCTATTGACCCGAAAAATATCACTGTCTCTAATCATGTCACCGGTATATTTCCTGGTAAAAGTTACTCATTCGGTGAATCGGCATTGAGAATTACGGTATCAAGCACTGTTGACATAATAGGCTACACTCCGTCGTAAATATTTCCAAGCCATTCGTTGATTTTTGGACTATTTCAACCGACGAGAAGTTCAATGAATTCTTTAAATGTTTAAGTGCACAAACCTGTTCACGAACAATGAAGGGAGAGAGTTGTAACTAACGTGCATCTGTAAACGACTTACTTCGAACTCCACCGCGCCATATTTGTTTCTCCTTGTGTACGAGTGCTATTTTAGGCAACGCACTCTGATTGGCTAAAACCTTGCGGTAGACGTCTTCTCTTTTTTGGGGAGAGGACGTTCTCCAAAATATACAGACTCGAATGTGAAATAATTAATTATTTTGATTGCCGTCTACCTCAAAGGCGAATTTTGGTTTAGATCGTGACCTTCATACATAAGAAAAAGTTTGGGATATGTTTCATTTTTTCTCATATCGGGAAGACTCCCTTTAAAGTTAGGAACGTAAAATATTGGGAATTAACAAATCTGGCTTTGGGGATGTGGATTTTTTGTGACATTGGGTAGGGCCGTCCCTCGGGATGGTTGATTCTATTTTCACATCGTAATTTTTGCTGTCTACGCATAGACCATTAGAGTTGGAGACATGAAACCTTAAACACAGATTGGGGCAATGCATGGATCCTTCAGGAATGTAAGTATGATCTAGGGTGGTTGGTTCTGTTTTTCACATCATTATTTTTGCTATCTACAGTAAGGAACATGAAACATTGGGGATTGATAAACCAGTAGTTATTAATGTGAATGGGTCCTTAAAATGATTAAGAAGATCAAGCAGCATACATCACTGAACAGACCTCTAGACCTCCATACACTCCGCTTGAATTTAGGTCAAGGGATCCAAGTAAAAGCTCATTCAAGGCCAAACACACACCGAGATCCTAGCGTTCAACTGGTGTTGTGTCGTAATATAAAACATACATGGTTATTACCAAAGAATGTGTGTGTGTGATAATACCCACTTTTTGAACTACCCCCTGAAATAATATAATGGGTCTAAAAAGACATAACAGTATTTTTTTAGAATTTTTAAACCTCTCTATCCCCCTTGTACATACCCTCTCAAGTTTGACATATTCGAAAATTAATGATTTTTTGGAATTTTTTGCACGTTTTTCGGCTTAGGCTTGGATAATTAATATCAAGATAAAACTAGTTTCAACATTATAGTTATAAATTAATGAAAAAAGTGGGCATTTTTTGCTCAAAATCGTTTGGGCCAGACCCATATTTTATGTCACATACTGAATATGCTATATCTAAATGGCACCTGTATGTTTGATAAATAATAATAATAATAATGATGATTGGCCTTTCATTCCCCAAAACTATGTTCTAATGATAAAACTATATATACGAAATTGTTCAAAATATTGCACAGGCCTACAGATACTTGGTAAAATAGCCATTTAAGACATATACCAACCCTTTACTTGATTTTGTTGCCTTGGAGGACATGCAAGTGAGTGTGAAATGAAGATGTTTTTTCAAATGTTTTATTCAGAATATTTTTCTATCTTTGAAAAGAGATGCCAAACAGAATAATGTTGGATATTTATATATTCAGGGAACTAACAAAGCAGCATCTGTCTTATATGTGAAGTACAAGAATTAAATGTGGCGGATCATAGATAATAATATATGAAGGTGAAGGAATTCAATATAAACTCGACAAAGAATATTTATGATATAAGCCACATCATAAGCACAATGTTTTAGATACATAACCCCAATATGACGAATAATACTGTAAATGTAAATTTATTATATCATAAATGTCCTTTGTCATGTTTAGATTGAACTCGAGCCTTCATCATATACATGTACCACCCATCCTTCTAAATCCATGTATTTCACTCTGCAACACAGCTTCATTAATTCCTTCAATGTATTATTATACAACATTATTCTGTTCAAAAGATATCCTTAGACATACAGACGTTATGTATTTGAATGGCAACTTCTTTGCTGGTCTCAGTTTATGATAGTGATTGCTTCCTGTCTGCATACATTATATATATATATATATATATATATATATATATATATATATATATATATATATATATATATATATATATATATTCCATCATTTTCATAATCATAATTTTAGGAGACTTCCTCTGGCTGCTTGAGATGTTGTTATTATTATTATTATTATTATTATTATTATTATTATTTACAACAAAAGGCAAGTGTTGATAATCACCAAAAAATAATTTATGTATCATGTATTTATCTACTTCTGCATCCCATGACCTACAGAGGAGTTAATTCAGACCACTTAAAAAAAGGAAATATGTGTTTGAGCATCTGAACATCTATTTAAGGACTAAACTATAGTGACAGATGCATGTCAGTTCTACATTAGCTGAACAGATGCTTGAAACCAGAAAAATTATAAAATTGTTCGAGTTTCTCCTGAAGCAGGTAGTCATCCTGAATTTCTTAATGAAATGCATTGATGTTTAAGTTTTTAATAATAAAACAAAAATAGTTAACTATGGCCATACAAGATACTGGGTTTCATTGGTGAACAAATAGACAGTTGCAAGTAAATATATGTAAGCATATGCATGGAATATTGCAAAAGTCGCTCAAATGTGAGTTTTTCATATTTTTCAACTTCCATGAACAAATAAAAGGATTTCTATGTAATTTATATAGGAAATATATAGTTCATACTAGTCTAGTGGGATTTCCACAAAGGATGAATAGTACGGGCATTGTGGAGTAAAAGTTAGGAACCAGGCTTATTGGCATAATTTTGGGATGCTGAATCCGATTAACCCGTCCCTAAGCGAAATTTTGCATTTGTAACGGTCTAATTTGCAAAATCAAAATGGTTGCCAGATTTCTTATTTTCTGCAATATCTCTGGAACTAGACAGGCGAATATGACACATGAAGTGTCTTTACCTACATTTTCATGGTCGAGGAACATTATTAAGATGTTTCTGTTAGGATTAGATTTACGCAATTCTCCTAAATATGCAAATTAGGATCGCCATTACTGAAAAACAGTTTTACTTCTGTATCTCTGTAATTAGGCAAGCAAACATGGCAAATGAAGTGTCTACACCTATGTTCTCAGGGTCAGGGAATGTGATTAATCAGATTTCTTGGCTGATGAGTAGCACTGACTTTTGGGATTATGTCCGAGTAGCACCTTTTATTGCTTCTTCTCTGTCAAACACAAGTCAATCTGCTGATAGTAAGAACCTGCCTTCAGAACTGCTCTTACTTTCACTAGGCAAGCATACGTGACACATGAAGTGCCCACATCCATGTTTTCAGCGTTAGGGTAAGTGGTTAAGACATTTTTCTATAATCTAACCATCAATGAGTGCTACACTGTCACACTGTAGCAATTATTCGAATCTGAATTGAACTAGGCAATTAAATACTGCGCTGCCATTGAGATGTAAACATATTGGATCACACAACTGCCCCTTTTACCTAGATTTAAAAAAGAAAACCTTATTAATGCAATGGAGGAATTTGCTGAATCAAGTAATTCATGTGGTGCAATGTACAGACTTGACATTTAAAATGGATATTGTTCAAACATATTTTCTTTGTTTTTCTCCCATAAATTAGTAATGGATGAAAATAAAACACGTGTTATCATGTTCGATATGGCTGTAATTAATCAACCCGTGTGAATACATCATCAAAAATTTAATTTAAATACGTTTTCAAATCAGCGTTATAAACAGCGCATGGATAATTTCATAGCTGATAAAAACAAGGTATTAAATTCCTTTGAACTCGATGTTATCAAGAATATCAGTTGGTAAGGATTTTTTCTTACACAAAAGAATCATCAAGACAAATGTGAAATATGGAACTGATAACAACGCGTGCAGTCTCTTCTAGCTGCAACCAGAGCCATCACTCGGCGAGAGATCCATGCAGAGAGGTTTCTGAGAGTTTGATCCAGTATTGTGCCACACGCATTAGTCAGAGCTTGCCTAAGCTTGTGCCGATTTGTAGGCTGGACGGGTGAGCTCTTGATTCTGCTAGCGATTTATGCTCACAGGTTTTCTATAGAATTCATGTCAGAAGCAAGGCAACTGGTTTACCTCTTGGTTTTGCAGAAAAGCAGTTATTGCATGGGCACGATGTGGTCGGGCATTGTCATCTTGCAGGATAAAGATGTCCTGGAAGTACCCTGTTGCTAATTGTAAGCAAGTATTCTCTAAAATGTCCTGTATTTTATTTGTTTGAGGTTTCCATCAATTGCCACCAATAGTGGTTTGGCTCCAGCGTGGATACCGGCTCACACACAGATACTGCCACGGCCACAAGCCACTGTAGGGTGACACAATTCTTGTGCAGTAACTCGTCTGGAAGCCTACTGACTCTGATTCAGCCATTGCGTAGGTGGAACTCAAACCCTGCCTCATCTGTAAAAATCTGCATGAACCCAGTGCTGTGCCTGAAACCGCAAATGGCGTCTAGCCCTTTATGTTGCTCTGTTCATAGAGTTATCGTGCTAAAAGTAGCCTTGCATTCACTAGAGTTCGAGAAACATGCTTTTGAATGGTGATTTGCCACTCATTTTGTACAGCAAGAGTTGTCTTTGTCCGGTTGTTGCGACATAACCGCAGAAGCAAGCGGTCTTCCCTTCTGGTGGTGACTAAAGGACGTCCTGGCCGTGGTCTCTGTGTTAATGTACCAGTCTGAGCGTGTTTCTGTAAGATGTTAGAAACAGTTTCCTGGGACACATCCAGCTGTCTGGCAATAGCAGTTTGCTTCTGTCCATTCTGGCATAATGCAACAATAGTGTGGCCAGATGTAACCGTTAGTTCACATACCGTAAGGTCAGCTAAGAGTCTGCAAAATATCAAAATCTTCTGACTGGACCTTGCCGAAATATAGAAACTTATTCTCCAGAACTGCTGCCCTTTTGTACGCATTCTGTAACCAGCCAAAGAGCACTGCTCAGAGAAACTGCCACATAATACGTAATATAACCGCGCTTCAGAGAAAGCTGCCAAATGAACAATAACCAACGCACCTGGCTACACATATACCTGATCACAATTGTCGTATGTGCTAAATTTTTCTAAAAAGTTAACTTATTCAACACTTTGTTTTTAAACTAAAATATTCCATATTAAATGTCCATATTTATGTATATACTTCAAAACACGATGGCATCTCACCTCACTCATTTCAGTGATTTTCCATTAGCTTATTTCTAGTTACCCATTGGTGTCGTTTTATTTTATTTAACAAAATTTCTTGAATTTTAGCTTTTTCTTCTGATATTCTATTGAATCCAATTAAATAATTGACGACACGGAAAACATTTCTGTGTTAATAGCAAGTCTGAGCAGTTTCTCAAGCTTCTAAGCGATTTCGTTGAGACCAAATCTGTAACAGAAAGGTTAACAGAATACGTATTCTGCCCTTATGAAATTAAACTGAATGACTCCTAACCCAGTGGCGGATTTAGAGAAAGGGGTCAAGCAGATTGACTAATGTTTGACAGATACAGGGAAGAAACAATAAAAGGTGCAACTCAGACACGATTCACAAAGTCAGTGCTACCCATCAGCCAAGAAATCTGATTAATCACATTCCCTGACCCTGAGAACATAGGTGTAGACACTTCATTTGCCATGTTTGCTTGCCAAGTTACAGAGATACAGAAGTAAAACGGTTTTTCAGTAATGGCGATCCTAATTAATTTAGGTGAATTGCGTAAATCTAATCCTAACAGAAACATCTTTATAATGTTCCTCGACCATGAAAATGTAGGTAAAGACACTTCATGTGTCATATTCGCCTGTCTAGTTCCAGAGATATTGTAGAAAATAGGAACTCTGGTGGCCATTTTGTGTTTTTGCAAATTAGACCGTTAAAAACGCAAAATTTCGCTTAGAAACCGGATTAATCGAATTCAGCCTGGTTCCCAACTTTTACCTCAAAATGGCCCTTGCCTCTTATGCAGAGCCTTTTTTCAAAAATCTCACTAGACTATATACTGCAAATGTTTTATCTTTCGTAAGAAGATTAATTAATATTTCAGACATCGATGAATGCGCCATTCAACCATGTAAAAACGGGGCCACGTGTTATGATGGTAAGAACTCCTACATCTGTGCGTGTCCGCCTGGATATACTGGACAGACGTGTAACACTGGTCAGTATTAAGCCATGCACGGCCTTAATGAGTCATTACCCCTCTCACTTCTCTACATCCCCAAAACTGAGGTACGATCGAGTAGGAGAAGAAAAGTGAAATAAGTCAATGGTCTTATGCTACACACGTGGGAGGAAAACCTGGGCACCGTCATTTAATATTTAACTATTTTTGTTATTATCTGAAAACTATTTTCCCTAATTTTTTCCGTAATTTAATTAATTAACGAAGCATTAGCTCCAGCTAATGTACTTAATACCATACATGTGCATGTGCTTAATTCCGTATGTTATAACAATTTTCAGATTCGGCTGTGCATTAATGTTGAGGCACTTTATTTAGATAATAAAGTTGGCCAATTATGTTATTAACTGTCTTACTTGAAATAATTAATATTTATAAACTGAAACATTGGGAAAATATTTGAAACAATTGATGCATTAATAGGGATTTTAGAACTGAGAGAATATTGGACATGATTAAAGACCTTTTCCACTTTATTCTCACGTTCTACCTTTGTATTTCAGACATCGATGAATGCGCCATTCAACCATGTAAAAACGGGGCCACGTGTTATGATGGTATGAACTCCTACATCTGTGCGTGTCCGCCTGGATATACTGGACAGACGTGTAACACTGGTCAGTATTAAGCCATGCACGGCTTTAATGAGTCATCACCCCACTCATTCCTCTGCATCCCGATCAGTGCTCTATGTTACACACGTGGGAGGGAAACCTACATGTAGGCACCGTAATTTAATATTTAACTATTATTATTGTTATCTGAAAACTATTTTCCCTATGTATTTTCATGACCATGGGTATTTTCAATAACGGGGTGTACTAATAGTTACTTTATTTTGCATGTAAGAATTACAAATGCGCCTTTAAACATATTTGCGCATTCTGGAAAATATGACCCTTCATATTACCCAATGATGTACCTGTTTGGCATGTAGCTTCTACTTTATTACTTGGTTTGTCACGGATCAGTTAAATTTAATGATTTAGCTGTTATATCTTACAATTTTACATCTTTATCTCTCCTAAAAAGGGAACAGAGAAAGGCCATTGGTTTAATTACCAAAGCATTAGCTCCAGCTAATGTGTTTAATACCTAATGCTATAACAATTTTCAGATTCGGGAAAATATTTGAAACGTTTTATGCATCAGTAGGAATTTTAGAAACGTGAGAATATTGGACATGATTAAAGATCGTTTCCACTTTATTATCACGTTCTACTTTTGTATTTCAGACATCGATGAATGTGCCAGTCAACCATGTAAAAACAGGACAACGTGTAAGGATGGTCTGAACTCCTACAGCTGTGTATGTCGGCCTGGATATACTGGGCAGACGTGTGGCATAGGTCAGTGTTGAGTCACACTGAAGCCTTAAGCACTTTAGCACTGTTGGATTACGTATTATGTGGTGATTGCATTTGATCATGGCCGCATTCAGAGGGGCGAACTTACAGATCGGATCAAATATATCCGACCAACTTGAATGTTTATTGTGTAATCCTCACGGGAAATATGCCTGGTGTCTTTTAGGGAATTAAGGGGCAAGCTATTAAATTGGTCGCCATATTTGAACGGCGAATTTGTTTGGCCGCTGTTTTGAATGAAGCCAGTGATATTTGGGCTTGTCCTAGCATATATTACAATAAAAGAGCATGGTACTGACGAAATATTAGCTGTATTTTTTACAGCGAATTTTTGCATATAAGTAGCAGATAATTCGGCACTGGATATTAGCGTAGGAGAGCACAAAATCGTTGCTCAGGATGAGAAATGAGCAAAACAGACAGACATCGATATAAAATTATTATTCTAATCTTCCAACGTATCTATGGGAAATAAAATGATCAAACAAGAGTAGTCATTGGCTAAGATTCTACCGATTTAATCAAATTGTCCAATCTTTCCCATTCAGATATCGATGAATGCGCCAGTCAACCATGTAAAAACAGGACTACGTGTAAGGATGGTGTGAACTCCTACAGCTGTGTATGTCCACCTGGATACACGGGACAAACGTGTGACATAGGTCAGTGTTAAGTTATGCTAAGGCCTTAAAATGTCATCACCCCACGCGCTGTTCCACATCCCCAAAACAGAGGTACGAGTTGGAGAGGGAGGGAAACCTAGGCACCGTTTATTAATATTTAACTATTTTTTATTATCTGAAAACTATTCCCCCTATGTATTTTCAAGACCATCGATATTTACAATAACGGGGTGTACATGTACTAGTAGATGCGTTATCTTGCATGTAAGAATTAGAGTTACATGTACCTCTAAAATAATTTCAAGCATTTTGGAAAATGTGACCCTTTATATTACCCAATAACGCTCTCATTTGGCATGTAACTTCTGTTTAATTTAATGCTTGGGCTGTTATAGCTTACAATCTTACATATTTGTCTCCCCTACAAAAGGAATAGAGAAAGGCCAGTGGTTTAACTATCATAGCATTAGCTCCGCCAAGTTTACCACAGCACTTAATACCGAATGTGATAACAATGTTCAATGGGGCACGGTCTTTAGCAAATTATGTTCGCTTGTTATATGATGTATGGTGTTTGTGGAATAATAAATAATAATGACACTAACTACTTTGAAAATATTTGAAACCATTGATGCATTCATAGTGATTCTAGAAATTTACGAATAATGCCAGGCACGATTATAGATGATTTCCCCTTTATTCTCACGTTAGAATAAGAAGATTAATTTATATTTCAGACATCGATGAATGCGCCATTCACCCATGTAAAAACGAGGCCACGTGTTATGATGGTATAAACTCCTACATCTGTGCGTGTCCGCCTGGATATACTGGACAGACGTGTAACACTGGTCAGTATTAAGCCATGCACGGCCTTAATGAGTCATTACCCCTCTCACTTCTCTACATCCCCAAAACAGAGGCACGAGTAGGAGAGGAAATGTGAAATAGATCAGTGCTCATATACTACACACGTGGGAGGAAAACCTAGGCACCGTAATTTAATATTTAACTATTTTTGTTATTATCTGAAAACTATTTACCTTATGTGTTTCCATGACCATTGGTATTTACAATAACGGGGTGTACTAGTATATGCCTTATTTTGCATGTAAAAATCACAGGCATATGTACCTTAACAAATTTTGAAAGCATTGTGGAAAATATTACCCTTCATATTACCCAGTGATGTACTTGTTTGGCATGTAACTCCTACTTTATTACGTGGTTTGTCACAGATCCAGAGCAGTTTTATTTAATGCCTGAGCTATTATATCTTACAATTTTACATCTTTGTTTCATCTTTAAAAATGAACAGAGAAAGCCCGATGTTTTAACTACCATAGCATTAGTTCCGTCAAGTTTAATATGTACTTAATGCCGGAAGTGATGACAATTTTCAGATTCGGTCGTGGGAATGTTCAGGCACGCTCTTTAGAATATTAAGTTCGCTAACTTTGTGATGTATGGACTTTGTGGAATAATGCTAAATAATCATGACCTTAATTACTTTGGAAATATTTGATGCATTCATAGGGATTCAAGACATTTCAGAATATTGGTCTTGATTAAAGACCTTTTCCACTTTATTCTCACGTTAGAATAAGAAGATTCATTGATTATATTTCAGACATTGATGAATGCGCCATTCAACCATANAGCACTACCCAATAAAATTACTTCAAATTACATAATGCAGCAGCGTAACAAACCTGGTATTCAGTTAATTGGAAGCGACACACCTGACTACACACTTCTCCATTCACATATCTTATATGAGATCTTAGTTTTTTGAAAAAAGAACGCATTTCTACCTGGGCACACCTTCGAAACTAAAATATTCCATATTAAATGTCAAGTCTGTACTTTGAAAATATTTGAAACCATTGATGCATTCATAGTGATTCTAGAAATTTACGAATAATGCCAGGCACGATTATAGATGATTTCCCCTTTATTCTCACGTTAGAATAAGAAGATTAATTTATATTTCAGACATCGATGAATGCGCCATTCACCCATGTAAAAACGGGGCCACGTGTTATGATGGTATAAACTCCTACATCTGTGCGTGTCCGCCTGGATATACTGGACAGACGTGTAACACTGGTCAGTATTAAGCCATACACGGCCTTAATGAGTCATTACCCCTCTCACTTCTCTACATCCCCAAAACAGAGGCACGAGTAGGAGAGGAAATGTCAAATAGATCAGTGCTCATATACTACACACGTGGGAGGAAAACCTAGGCACCGTAATTTATTATTTAACTATTTTTGTTATTATCTGAAAACTATTTACCTTATGTGTTTCCATGACCATTGGTATTTACAATAACGGGGTGTACTAGTATATGCCTTATTTTGCATGTAAAAATCACAGGCATATGTACCTTAACAAATTTTGAAAGCATTGTGGAAAATATTACCCTTCATATTACCCAGTGATGTACTCGTTTGGCATGTAACTCCTACTTTATTACGTGGTTTGTCACAGATCCAGAGCAGTTTTATTTAATGCCTGAGCTATTATATCTTACAATTTTACATCTTTGTTTCATCTTAAAAAATGAACAGAGAAAGCCCGATGTTTTAACTACCATAGCATTAGCTCCGTCAAGTTTAATATGTACTTAATGCCGGAAGTGATGACAATTTTCAGATTCGGTCGTGGGAATGTTCAGGCACGCTCTTTAGAATATTAAGTTCGCGAACTTTGTGATGTATGGACTTTGTGGAATAATGCTAAATAATCATGACCTTAATTACTTTGGAAATATTTGATGCATTCATAGGGATTCAAGACAGTTCAGAATATTGGTCTTGATTAAAGACCTTTTCCACTTTATTCTCACGTTAGAATAAGAAGATTCATTGATTATATTTCAGACATTGATGAATGCGCCATTCAACCATGNTCCACATGCCCAAAACAGAGGTACGAGTTGGAGAGGGAGGGAAACCTAGGCACCGTTATTTAATGTTTAACTATTTTTTTATTATCTGAAAACTATTCCCCCTATGTATTTTCAAGACCATTGATATTTACAATAACGGGGTGTACATGTACTAGTAGATGCGTTATCTTGCATGTAAGAATTAGAGTTACATGTACCTCTTAAAAATTTCACGCATTTTGGAAAATGTGACCCTTTATATTACCCAATAACGCTCTCATTTGGCATGTAACTTTTGTTTAATTCAATGCTTGAGCTGTTATAGCTTACAATCTTACATCTTTGTCTCCCCTACAAAAGGAATAGAGAAAGGCCAGTGGTTTAACTATCATAGCATTAGCTCCGCCAAGTTTACCACAGCACTTAATACCGAATGTGATAACAATGTTCAGATTCGGTCGTGCGAATGTTGGGGCACGGTCTTTAGCAAATTATGTTCGCTTGTTATATGATGTATGGTGTTTGTGGAATAATAAATAATAATGACTCTAACTACTTTGAAAATATTTGAAACCATTGATGCATTCATAGTGATTCTAGAAATTTACGAATAATGCCAGGCACGATTATAGATGATTTCCCCTTTATTCTCACGTTAGAATAAGAAGATTAATTTATATTTCAGACATCGATGAATGCGCCAGTCACCCATGTAAAAACGAGGCCACGTGTTATGATGGTATAAACTCCTACATCTGTGCGTGTCCGCCTGGATATACTGGACAGACGTGTAACACTGGTCAGTATTAAGCCATGCACGGCCTTAATGAGTCATTACCCCTCTCACTTCTCTACATCCCCAACAGAGGCACGAGTAGGAGAGGAAATGTGAAATAGATCAGTTCTCATATACTACACACGTGGGAGGAAAACCTAGGCACCGTAATTTAATATTTAACTATTTTTGTTATTATCTGAAAACTATTTACCTTATGTGTTTCCATGACCATTGGTATTTACAATAACGGGGTGTACTAGTATATGCCTTATTTTGCATGTAAAAATCACAGGCATATGTACCTTAACAAATTTTGAAAGCATTGTGGAAAATATTACCCTTCATATTACCCAGTGATGTACTCGTTTGGCATGTAACTTCTACTTTATTACGTGGTTTGTCACAGATCCAGAGCAGTTTTATTTAATGCCTGAGCTATTATATCTTACAATGTTACATCTTTGTTTCATCTTAAAAAATGAACAGAGAAAGCTCGATGTTTTAACTAACATAGCATTAGCTCCGGCATGTTTAATATGTACTTAATGCCGGAAGTGATGACAATTTTCAGATTCGGTCGTGGGAATGTTCAGGCACGCTCTTTAGAATATTAAGTTCGCTAACTTTGTGATGTATGGACTTTGTGGAATAATGCTAAATAATCATGACCTTAATTACTTTGGAAATATTTGATGCATTCATAGGGATTCAAGACATTTCAGAATATTGGTCTTGATTAAAGACCTTTTCCACTTTATTCTCACGTTAGAATAAGAAGATTCATTGATTATATTTCAGACATTGATGAATGTGCCATTCAACCATGNATTCTCACGTTAGAATAAGAAGATTAAATTATATTTCAGACATCGATGAATGCGCCAGTCACCCATGTAAAAAAGGGGCCACGTGTTATGATGGTATAAACTCCTACATCTGTGCGTGTCCGCCTGGATATACTGGACAGACGTGTAACACTGGTCAGTATTAAGCCATGCACGGCCTTAATGAGTCATTACCCCTCTCACTTCTCTACATCCCCAACAGAGGCACGAGTAGGAGAGGAAATGTGAAATAGATCAGTTCTCATATACTACACACGTGAGAGGAAAACCTAGGCACCGTAATTTAATATTTAACTATTTTTGTTATTATCTGAAAACTATTTACCTTATGTGTTTCCATGACCATTGGTATTTACAATAACGGGGTGTACTAGTATATGCCTTATTTTGCATGTAAAAATCACAGGCATATGTACCTTAAAAATTTGTGAAGCATTGTGGAAAATATGACCCTTCATATTACCCAGTGATGTACTCGTTTGGCATGTTACTTCTACTTTATTACGTGGTTTGTCACAGATCCAGAGCAGTTTTATTTAATGCCTGAGCTATTATATCTTACAATGTTACATCTTTGTTTCATCTTAAAAAATGAACAGAGAAAGCTCGATGTTTTAACTACCATAGCATTAGCTCCGGCATGTTTAATATGTACTTAAAACCGTATGACGACAATTTTCAGATTCGGTCGTGGGAATGTTCAGGCACGCTCTTTAGAATATTAAGTTCGCTAACTTTGTGATGTATGGACTTTGTGGAATAATGCTAAATAATCATGACCTTAATTACTTTGGAAATATTTGATTCATTCATAGGGATTCAAGACATTTTAGAATATTGGTCTTGATTAAAGACCTTTTCCACTTTATTCTCACGTTAGAATAAGAAGATTCATTGATTATATTTCAGACATTGATGAATGTGCCATTCAACCATGTAAAAACGGGGCCACGTGTTATGATGGTATGAACTCCTACATCTGTGCGTGTCCGCCTGGATATACTGGACAGACGTGTAACACTGGTCAGTATTAAGCCATGCACGGCCTTAATGAGTCATTACCCCTCTCACTTCTCTACATCCCCAAAACAGAGGTTCGAGTAGGAGAGGAAATGTCAAATAGATCAGTGCCCTTATGCTACACACGTGGGAGGAAAACCTAGGCACCGTAATTTGATATTTAACTATTTTTGTAATTAACTGAAAACTATTTTCTCTATGTATTTTCATGACCATGGGTATAAACAATAACGGGGTGTATTAATAGATGCTTTATTTTGCATGTAAGAACTACACATGTGCCTTTAAACATATTTACGCATCCTGGAAAATATGACCCTTCATATTACCCAATGATGTACCTGCTTGGCATGTAGCTTCTACTTTATTACGTGGTTTGTCACAGATCAGTTAAATTTAATGATTTAGCTGTTATATCTTACAATTTTACATCTTTGTCTCTCCTAAAAAGGGAACAGAGAAAGGCCATTGGTTTCATTACCAAAGCATTGGCTCCAGCTAATGTGTTTAATACCTAATGTTATAACAATTTTCAGATTCAGTTGTGCTAATGTTGAGGCACGGTCTTTAGATAATAAAGTTGGACAATTATGTTATTTACTGTCTTACTTGAAATAATGAAAATTTAAAAAAACTTACTATTAGGAAAATATTTGAAACGTTTAATGCATCAATAGGAATTCTAGAAACGTGAGAATATTGGACATGATTAAAGATCGTTTCCACTTTATTATCACGTTCTACTTTTGTATTTCAGACATCGATGAATGTGCCAGTCAACCATGTAAAAACAGGACAACGTGTAAGGATGGTCTGAACTCCTACAGCTGTGTATGTCCGCCTGGATATACTGGGCAGACGTGTGGCATAGGTCAGTGTTGAGTCACACTGAAGCCTTAAGCACTTTAGCACTGTTGGATTACGTATTATGTGGTGATTGCATTTTATCATGGCCGCATTCAGAGGGGCGAACTTACAGATCGGATCAAATATATCCGACCCACTTGAATGTTTATTGTGTAATCCTCACGGGAAATATGCCTGGTGTCTTTTAGGGAATTAAGGGGCAAGCTATTAAATTGGTCGCCATATTTGAACGGCGAATCTGTTTGGCCGCTGAGCCGTTTTGAATGAAGCCAGTGATATTTGGGCTTGTCCTAGCATATATTACAATAAAAGAGCATGGTACTGACGAAATATTAGATGTATTTTTTACAGTGAATTTTTGCATATAAGTAGCAGATAATTCGGCACTGGATATTAGCGTAGGAGAGCACAAAATCGTTGCTCAGGATGAGAAATGAGCAAAACAGACAGACACTGACATAAAATTATTATTCGAATCATCCAACGTATCTATGGGAAATAAAACGATCAAACAAGAGTAGTCATTGGCTAAGATTCTACCGATTTAATCAAATTGTCCAATCTTTCCCATTCAGATATCGATGAATGCGCCACTCGACCCTGTAAAAACAGGACTACGTGTAAGGATGGTGTGAACTCCTACAGCTGTGTATGTCCACCTGGATACACGGGACAGACGTGTGACATAGGTCAGTGTTAAGTTATGCTAAGGCCTTAAAATGTCATCACCCCACGCGCTGTTCCACATCCCCAAAACAGAGGTACGAGTTGGAGAGGGTGGGAAACCTAGGCACCGTTAATTAATAATATAACTATTTTTTTATTATCTGAAAACTATTCCCCCTGTGTATTTTCAAGACCATTGATATTTACAATAACGGGGTGTACATGTACTAGTAGATGCGTTATCTTGCATGTAAGAATTAGAGGTACATGTACCTCTTAAAAATTTCAGGCATTTTGGAAAATGTGACCCTTTATATTACTCAATAACGCTCTCATTTGGCATGTAACTTCTGTTTAATTTAATGCTTGAGCTGTTATATCTTACAATCTTACATCTTTGTCTCCCCTACAAAAGGAATAGAGAAAGGCCAGTGGTTTAACTATCATAGCATTAGCTCCGCCAAGTTTACCATAGTACTTAATACCGAATGTGATAACAATGTTCAGATTCGGTCGTACGAATGTTGGGGCACGGTCTTTAGCAAATTATGTTCGCTTGTTACATGATGTATGGTGTTTGTGGAATAATAAATAATAATGTCTCTAGCTACTTTGAAAATATTTGAAATCATTGATGCATTCATAGGGATTCTAGAAATTTAAGAATAATGCCAGGCACGATTAAAGGTCATTTCCACTTTATTCCCACGTTAGAATAAGAAGATTCATTTGTATTTCAGACATCGATGAATGCGCCATTCAACCATGTAAAAACGGGGCCACGTGTTATGATGGTATGAACTCCTACATCTGTATGTGTCCGCCTGGATATACTGGACAGACGTGTTACACTGGTCAGTATTAGACCCAATTTCCATAGATTTTAGATCGATCTATCCTTTTGTGGAGTCTCACTAGATTACTGTCAGCTTAGCCGGCTGTCCTGCCTACTAAAACCTGGAAGGGGGTAATTAACTATGGTGCGCGCTCGGCTGACTGCAATTTAGCGTTAACCCCCAGGGAGTAAGGTCGATATAAATCTCTGTGAATGCACCCTTAAGCCATGCACGGCCTTAATGTTTCATTACCCCTCTCACGTCTCTACATCCCCAAAACAGAGGTTCCATTAGGAGAGGAAATGTCAAATAGATTAGTGCTCTTATGCTACACACGTGGAAGGAAACCTAGGCACCGTTATGTAAAATTTACCTGTTTTATTATTATCTGAATGTATTTGCAAGACCATAGATAATTATAATTACGGGGTGTACTACTATTTATTTTATTTTGCATGTAATAATCACAGGTAAATGTACCTTAATATTTTTGAAAGCATTGTAAAAAATATGACCCTTCATATTACCCAGTTATGTGCCCGTTTGGCACGTAACTTCTGCTTTATTACGTGGCTTGTCACAGATCCAGATCAGTTTTGTTTAATGCTTGAGCTGTAAATCTTACAATTTTACATCTTTGTTTTATCTTGAAAAATGAACAGAGAAAGGACGATGGTTTAACTACCTTAGCATTAGCTCCGACCAGTTTAATATGTACTTAAGAGCTTGTCCACGAGAGAACCAGCCCAGGGTGGCAAGGTGGGGGTCAANACGGGTCTACGTGTAAGGATGGTGTGAACTCCTACAGCTGTGTGTGTCAGCCTGGATATACGGGACAAACGTGTGCCATAGGTCAGTATTGAGTCATGCATAGACCTTATGAGGTTAATAGCCCCCTACCTTTCAGGCACTGTGACACGAGTATGGGAAGAACTGTGAAATACGTCAGTGCACCAAGTTGTCCTTTGTACCTCTTTGAGTGCACATACGCTGTGCACGTAGGAGGAAAACCTAATCACCGTTATTTAATGTTTAATTTGTTTTTCTCATTACCTGAAAGCTATTTACTATACATTTTCAAGGAGATAGATATTTAGGACGTCGCATTACGGGTAACGGGGTGTTCATGTTTTTTTTTTTTTTTTTTGGATGTAAGAATAAACTAATTTTTTAATAGCGTTCGGACAAAAATATCTTATTATCCGCGTATATCTAAGTGGATAACAACATTTCGAATGAGATCTATATTTCACAATATATACATTGTAAACAACTCATAGAAATATAATATATTCTATATCACCACAAAAACGACTGTTATAGCAATTATTCTGAAATCTGTGCTTGCGTGACCACCATAGATGGCTATATTCTGTAATAATATCTTAAGAGATTAAGAGATTATTACTAAAAACCAAAAAAAAAAAACTTTTTAGAACAGGGACTAACTTTGAATGTAGAAATGGATTCATTAACCATTAGTAAGTATGGGTAAATTGCCGTTTACCCCAGGAAAATAAATGAACAGTTGTTAACCTTTTAACTTCTGCTTTATTACGTCTTGTCACAGAAACTTCAGTGATTGGACTTCAATAGCTAACAATTTCACAACGTTGCCACCACTACAAAAGGACAATGGGCTCATTCAAAAAAGAAGATCCAAGGATCAACTGATCCACGGATCAAATGAATGAAAGAAGAGCCAACTAATCTGTTGTTGCATAGTCTCCCCTCGTCCACACGCGCCAGTAAACGAATTAAATCACGGCTCCAGATTTAATTGCCATACCCCTGCAAGGACGGCGTGGAGGCCATTAGCGGATTAGAGGGGTGTTCTTTCATGTAGGGTCCGCCATATATGATCCGTGGATCAGAAGATCCTCTCATCTTCTATTCTGAATGGCCTCAATGAGATCATTACCACGGTATAAGTGCCAGTTAGTGCTATTAATGTACTTAATACCTGATCTTATAACAGTTACATTATACTTAAGTATATGTAAACATTATTACTTAGTGCTAATTGTGACTACCCTAGGTTCTAGATTTTAGTTTTGCCAGCTCGAACTTGATTTTATATAAAACACAGTAAAGCTATTCCATGAAAATGTTTGAACAGTTAACAAGCTAGCTTTACAGTGGCCCTGACACTCAGGGCAGTTGTGACTTAACTGTTTGCGTTTATGTGAATCTTCAGGATGAAAGAATGTTTAAAAGTCGTTCCCATTTGATCACAATGTCCAATATTTCCCATTCAGACATCAATGAATGCGCCAGTCAACCATGTAAAAACGGGTCTACGTGTAAGGATGGCGTGAACTCCTACAGCTGTGTGTGTCCTCCTGGATATACGGGGAAGACGTGTGCAACAGGTCAGTATGGGCATACACGATCTTAAAGGGTTATCATCCCCCTTCCAACAGGCCAGTAATACTGTATTATAAGTCATACACTATCTCAACGGCTGTGTATGTCTATCTGGAACTGCGTCATCACTCTTCACTTATCATAACCTCGTTTTCTGCAGTTCGTCATTCCAAATTACGAAGATTTCTTGAAGTCAGCTTAAAAAATACTCTTGTATGCATAGATTTCATATATTTATACTCGTTTGGTGTGTCTAAATCACGTTAAACAGCTTAATAAACACATTGTTATTAGATTGCCTCCAGGACAAATAATTTATTATGAAAATGGTCATAAATTCGCTGAACTGAGCAAGAATAAGCTTTTTTCGCCTCGACACCGATGTACACTTGGCAGCAATAGCACACTTGCGATCTCTCGATGGCGTATAATCGCCTCGATAGTTGTTTGCGAAACTGCAGTTAGCAGGCACAGAGTTACCTGATATACGTATTCCTTGTATTCTTCGTTTACAAAACGTCACGATTATATTCTACATTTGTACATGTTTTTCAGACATTGATGAATGCGCCAGTCAACCATGTAAAAACGGGGCCACGTGTTATGATGGTGTGAGCAGCTACGGCTGTGTTTGCCCGTCCGGATATGCAGGGCAGACGTGTGGCATACGTCAGTATTAACACATTCATAATGTTACAAAATCTTTTCATTTTACTTCCTTATCATCCCGATACACAACGAAGAGAAAAAAACCATGCAATACGTTTATTACCAGAGCATTAACCCTTGTTACCAATGTTAATTGGGCTTGTACTTTATACTGAAGAACGCTTTATGCAGTAAATGCAGGAAATAGTAAAACTGTTTAGGCTTTCCTAAACGCCAACATACTGCTGCCTGGCGTGTTGTTAGTATACGTTTACATGGTTATAACCACCAACTACAATATATACTCATTTATCTGTCAATATCTATGTATATAAAACCGTAAATGTAAATGTAAACTTTCTGCGAAAGCGCTAAATCGTAAAGTTACACCTCCATAAACGAAAAAAGGATGCATTTTTGTAAATGTAGGCTTGCAAAAAGACTGTTATGAACAATAATATTATGCAATGCTGATTTATAAATATAAACTAAATTATAGCGAGGATAACGAAGTATTTGACGCAGTTATAAGGATTTTTGAAGTGTTCTAAAGGCTATGAGTAAAGATTGCCCCCAACTCATCATTATGTCAGCCATTTGTCTTTCAGATATAGATGAATGCGCCAGTCAACCGTGTAAAAACGGCGCTACATGTTATGATGGTGTGAACTCCTACATCTGTGTGTGTCAGCCTGGATATACAGGACAGACGTGTGACATAGGTCAGTAATTGGCAATTCATGGATAATACCTTAAAGGCCTTTCCCCCCCCCCCCCCCCCAAAAAAAAAATAATAATAATAATGAATAAATAAATCGATAAATAAAGACGTACGAGTAAGAGAAGAAATGTGAAAGTGCTCATATGCCACACACGTGGGAGGAAAACTTTGTTCCAACTATCTAATATTGTTTTGGTATTATCCGAAAGTAATTCACCCTATACATTTTCAAAACCATTTTCATATGGGACGTCGTATAATAGTTCAAGGTGTATTATCTGTGTTTTGTTTTGTAGCAATAAATACATCTTAAAATTTACTTCAATACCTGAGCAGTAATATATTACAAATTTTACATCCTTGTCACTCCTACAAAAGGAATAGAGTTGAATGCCTTAGCGTCAGCTCCAGTTAGTGTTACATGTACTTAAAACACGAGATGTGATACCAGTTACCGTATAGTATGTTATTAAAATTGTTCAGTGATAATTTTGCCTGAAGTGTTCGAATTTTTAGAAATCATGTTTATGTAAATAATTGTTGGAAACAACAAACGCTTTTATGGGAATTTTAATAGTCAAAAAATACTGGCCATTAGCTAAGATCTTTCTCATGTCATGTTCAATATTTCCCATTCAGATGTAGATGAGTGTGCCAGTCAACCCTGTAAAAACGGCGCTACGTGTAAGGATGGTGTGAACTCCTACAGCTGTGTGTGTCTGTCTGGATATACGGGACAGACGTGTGCAACAGGTCAGTATTAAGTCAAGCCAAGAAGTTATAATGAGTTATAACTTCTTGGTCAAGCAAAGGTCTTAAAGCTTTACTATCTCTATCACCGCCAATGGCCGCATTCTCAACGAATTGAGCCAGGCTTTACAAATCCTGAGACTAAATATGGCGGACGTACATGAAAGGATAACCGCCTAATCTTTTTAATAGTCTCTCCGCCTCTCACACGCCTTCCCACACGTCGTCCCTGCGGGGTACAGTCATTAAATCTCGGCTCCGTTCGCCATGCGGAAGCTACCTGAGAAATATTAAGTGCGCATGCTCATCAGTTAAACTCGTGGTGAAGAAAGCATGGCGGCTGAAGGCGATCGAAGGAAAAAAAGCTCTTCTGTTCTATTATCTTTCAAAACAGAGATCTGGGTTAAAGGTCAGGGGTGTGAGGCGTACTGTATTGTATGGGTCCGACCTGGCATGCGAGACGTGGACCTTTAATTGTGTAACTGCACATTTCAGATCTTACGGTGTTCCAACATCATGGTAACTACTCGCGGAAACAATAGTTTATTTGTCCGTAAGACAAATCTGTGCCAACCAAGAAAAGGTCGACCAGTCGCTGCCTGAAATGTTTTTAAAAAACCTGTCAGACCTAAGATCTAATAAACGGAAAGATTGGGCAGCGGCATTTTCCTTTTGACCAGACGTTCGTACGGGAAAACATGCTATATTAGATCTTAGGTCAGACTAAATGCTGGGCAGTTGTTCTAGCTGCAGGGGGGGGGGGGGTAACATCCCACCTGACCATTTCTGTGACTGGTAATTTGAAAAATATAGAGATCTAAGCAATATATTTGGTGGTTGTTTTATGTGTGAAAATAGTTTCACCTAATCTCATTTTTGATAGTCAGAAAGTTTTTATTTATGATAGATCCATATAGTTGGTTTACCTGTTGACTGTTTCGTCTGTTCACTCTGACAGACTTGGTCACAATCAGGCCTACCCAACTACCAGACTCGGCACCGAATGATCCCGAATTCACCGGTAGATCAGACCACACTACCCGTTTTCAAGGTGTGAGTCAGTACGCATTTCACAGTATCATACCCCGAACAAATTTTGAGTGGTGATGCAATGCTTTTCAACCCCGCTGAGAATCGTCACTATCACATCGCGTACTAGGCAAGTACCCTCTACTAGGGCGAGTGATAGATTTTTTACAGATATTCACAGATATGTCTCTAGCTAGATAGATGGTCATTTAGGGCTCAACTCACCCTGTTGAGAAATCTCAAGGCTGATTACATGGCTGATAATTGTTTGCATAACTGCTCAGGCACTGCCACTTAGCAGGTCCAGTCTAAGTCTGCGTGACAGCAATCAAGACAGTTAATTACTCTGACTTCAATCACTTGCTCATCTGTGACAGATAAAAAAGCCTTAGACTGGTTGCGTAACGAGCAGTTATCACATCGTTGTGAAGCTCAGCTCATGCAGAGCAAGTACAAAGCCTTTGGCGTGCGCGCAGAGATAATTGTTTCCACATGGGTGAGTTGAGCCCTCAATGACCTTCTATCTTGCCGGTGTCAAGCAACACAGAGTCCTACCATTCTAGGGTCCGGCGGACCCGGTGTTTTAAAACTGAGAGTCCGGCGGCCTCCCTGTCTCGAAATAAATGTTCTGAAATGTAGAGTCCTCCTAGACACTCTATTTCAGTACGGAAATTCCTAGGACCCTACGTTTTAATACTGAAAGTCCGCACTGAACAGCAATAATGAAATCTCACACTTAAAACTTGCAATTTAAAAATGACTTTGAACATGATGTTAACTGATATGGATGGAAGAATTATAAGAATTAAAGGTAAAATAAACATTAACCTCTGTTAAAGTGTAACGCGTAGTATAAATGTGTATTGTTCGCATTTCATAAACTAATTTGCAGGATTATCTTTTGTATGCAATTGAGAAAGAACATCACTTAAGAAATATAAATTTATTCAGAATACATAAGGGCCTTTGGTGAACTTTCTGATTTTACAAAAAAAAAGTTTATTTTATTAATCAGTATAGTAATTGATTTTCTCATCATTGTCCGTTGTCACCCGCATTTCCATCATCATGCAAACTTGATAAAACATCTGTGCCAGTGCTTCGTCTAAAATGAGAAAAATATAATCCATAGTTTCACATTATAAATATATTTTAAAGTACATGTAGATATCAAATCCTTTCTTGTTGATACAATCTTGCTTTATTGTTGTCCATATAATACACAATGGAAAAAAACTTTAATTAAGATTTCTAATGATATTGAGAAACATGGAATACATTCTTTTTGGGATGATTCCATTTTAATTTAGGGTATGCAACTTAAATTAAAACTTTATATAAATTGTTAAACAAAATTAAATGAGTACATTTTCAATTACACTCCATAAGCATGTATATTAAATAACTAATTAATTTCGTCAGTTTCCAGAAAATACCTATTTTGCACAATTTGGCATTGATGCACTGTTTAACGCTAGCTGTCACACATTTATGAGTATTAGTCATTGTAGCCTAAGTCGCGCGTATAGTCTAGAGAAAAGAAACGTTTTGCACAGTTTAGCATCGATTCATTGTGTACCACTAGCTTACACACATGTACGAGTGGTATTCAAATAAGTCACGCATATATATAGTCCAAAGCATCACAATGCAATGGGATATGTGTGAAATATATTTTAAGTAAGTCCAATTAAAAAAGGTATGAAATGTAATCAAAAGTGAGTATAACACATTTTACTGCGGAATGAAACACAATAAATGGACAGTAAGTTGAATATTTAACTATAAAATTTAAAAAACAAGAGTGAAAATAGAGGCAATAAAAAGTGAACTCAAGTGTGGGACTCGAACCAACATACTGTTAAATTACTACATACTTCCCTGTCATTGGATACCATAATAGACTCATCACCAGTGTCGCTGTCCACTACACCACCAGGTCGTTGTGCACACCACCTCCGTTTTGTTATGTTATATTTAATTTTTTTAATCGAAAGTATTTTATATTTTTATTCCAATATTGTCAGGATTTAAATACAGCAAATCATACATTTGTATGTCAGAGGTCACATCTCCATATTTGCCTAGATAATTAATAAAGGTTTATTGTGTTCTTTGCAATATATAAGACATATATTGAATGTATATGTATAAAAGTATAAAGATGTAGTATTAAAATAGAGCTTTAAGATAAATTCTAAATTATAAAAACGATAATGAGGTTTAAAATGGTGATTCGTTGTTCTTTTCAAAAGCTAGAAGTTCATGGATAGACCTTGATCATTGACACGTATATAAACAGTATGGGATAAAAGTGTTCCTATATCTTTTTTTCCGACATTTTGGTAAAACATATCTATAAACATTCCTTATGTCCTTTTCTATGACACGAGTGTTAGGTAAAAGATGGTTTAATCTATGTGTACACAGTTTTATCTCATTAAATAATTTTTTGCACAAGTCAGTACGCCGAGATTTCAAGGTAGGTAATTCAGTGATGTCCATTGCTTCGTTGTAAGTGAGTTCAGGGTATATAATATGAAGAGCTCTTTTTTGGATGTTCTCTAAGGCTTTAGATTGCTGTGCGGTAATTCCAGCATGCCATAGCTGACAAGCGTACTCAAGTGTTGGTCTGAGATTGCTTTTATAAATTTGTAAGAGGTCATATCTCGGCACCCCAGCGTGTTTGACCATGCATAAGAAATACAGTCTGGATGCAGCTTTTGAGAGAATTTTTTCTTTATGTAAGTCCCAATTCAAATTAGAACTGATATGAACTCCCAGCAGTTTGGCATGTGAAACTTGTTCGATTTTTATACCATCAATTATTAGGTTATCAGGTACACTTGGGTTTTTACTGAAACAGATAAACAGTTCAACAGTTTTTTTAGGATTAATTAGCATGTTATTTTGTTTTGTCCATTCATATAGGTTTGAGGCTGCTATGGGAAGTTTAGATTGTGTAGGTTTGGCACCTTGTTCTATTTCCCTTGGAGATGGTTGGTAAACTATCTCATAAACTGTATTGTCATCCACATACTTTACTGCTGGTAAAAAACATTCAATGTCATTTATCATTGTAATGAAAAGGAGAGGTCCTAATTTTGTACCCTGGGGCACGCCCCCATGAATATGGCACCATTGTGACATTACTGATCCACACTTGATCCGTTGTTGTCTATTAAGTAAAAAGGCATGGACCCATCTGAGTAATACTCGAGGTACTCCATAGCTGCAGAGCTTGCCTAGCAATATATTGTGGTCTATTAAATCAAACGCTTTTCTAAAATCAAGTAATAAAACCCGAGTCTGTGCCCCATGAGTGTCACTGGCCTTGGCCCAGGTGTAAAATAGCTCTATTAAGGCCATTGTGGTGGAGGAACCTTTAACATTCCCAAACTGATCTTTCTTAATATGTGGTCCTAGTATCTCCCACAGCCATGTAAAAATGAATGCTTCTAATTCTTTGCTGAGGATAGGTGTTAGGGAAACAGGTCTTAAATCATTTTCCACGCTCAGTGCTGGTTTACTTTTAGGCAGTGGCACTACATTGGCACATTTCCAGATTGTTGGTAGCTTTCCTTGACGTATGGTATTGTTCCAGATTGCACATACTGGTGCACCGAGAACTCCAGCAAAGTCTTTGAGAATCCAGTTCGGTATATTATCAGGGCCGGATGCCGTGTTTGTGTTAACAGTAATGAGAGATCTTTCCACTTGTTCTACTGTGAGCTGGTACTGTGAGGGAACGTTAACATCATGGAAGTCCATCTCATCTAAGGGGTCTCTGCATCAAGGGTTTGCTTTATTATAATTCTATTATACACTGATTGACAATATAAAGCGCTTTTACTAAATATCTACTGTTCTACAGTAGGACCCTAGCTTTTAGACCCAGTTCTTCTGTATGACGGGCGGACTCTGTGTTTCGTGATAGTCATGAAACGTAGGGTCCGGTTAAATGCAGGGTCCGGGGGACCCTGTATATTATATCCAATTACCATGATACAGAGTCCGGGACCCGTTATTTCAGAAACCAGGGGTCTGTAGGATATTATATATTGCCATGGGGGACCTTCTGGTACATGACACCGGTGTGAACGGAATGCAGGTCCGTCAGGAATGGAAGTCCTATCTATATTTATGACAGGAATACAGGTCCCATTAGGACTACTTATCCTAAGGGACCGAGGTGCGTAGGACCTCGGTTCCAGGCGGACCTGCATTCCGTTCACACCGGGACAGGGTATGTGGCGGCGGAGAGACCATCAGCGGATCAGTTGGCTTTGGTTTTATATGAATCTGTCGTATTTGATCTGCAGGTCTGTAAGTCCGCAGATCAACTTATTCTGAATGCACTCATAGATAATCACAAGCTGCCTATTTGGCCTGAATTGGCCTGGATTGGCCTGAATTGGCCTGGTGAAGACTTTGTCAAAGTAAAGTAGACCTCATGTAGTTATTATCACAAATACAATTCGTTACTTACAGCACCCGTATTCAAAGCAAATTTCACCACTCTTGGCGCTGAAGGAAGACTTGGTCCCACCTCTGTAGGCAGTCACTATGATGGTCAATCCCATGAGGGACTGGTGAACGTCACTCAAGGAATACAGTACTTTACTGTCCCATACTCAGGGACATATAGGATAGAGGCAGCAGGTGCGTGCAAATTAAATTGCATAATTTATTATCATCAAGGTGATGTTACATGTATTTCTTCAACAGTTGAAAACATTTAGACCCAAACGAAATTTTAGGGGAAAAAATTAATAAAAATGAAGACACTTCAGAACAAATAGGGTTAACTGTTTTCCCTCGTTATGCACGCGTTAATTAAATTGTGCAGTCTAAATAATATATTATTACTGTCCCGTAAAAGTTGAGTTCAGACTTACAACGAGTGATCTAGAAAATTGGGACAACGTAAATCAGACATAAGGTGGATAGAAAAGAGAACAACTGCATTACTCAGTAAAGAGGTAGTATTGTAGTCTATACATGAACATCGTACTCTTAGGTGCTGCGGGAGGATGTGACACACTAGACTCCCCGAGGGGTTGTTTCCTGCGATCAAAGGGGGCGTATGTTGCTGGGCTATTTCAACTATCTGCAGGTACGTATATGTCAGAGTTATTGAACCTGTATTTATGTACCGCCATATAATCATTAGTTGTCTCTCTATTCCAAAGAACAGCCACACATTCCAATGCGCGAGAAAAATTGATACGACATTCTTTTTGAACATGTCTTTTTTCGTCTCAATAAAAATGCAATCTACTGGAAAAGATATAAAAAAGCACCGACCATCTTGCACCCTGTAGTTTGAGAAGTCACTGCTAAATGTGTTAAGGTAAAGAGGAAGGGAAAGCAAAGTGAAAATTTTCACAATTTTTTTAAAGAAAAAAAAGGTGAAATTATTATTCTTTAAATGACTTAATAGCAAACTAAAATATGCAAACTTATATAAACTATAAACAAACCTAATTATTACAACAATTATAAGTTATTAATTATAATTTGTTTTTCATATCTCAAGGAGAAACGCTACATATCTTAGTCGGCCAGAAGGGGAGATATAACAGTCAGTATGGTGGATCAGGAGGTGGGGGAGGCAGTTATGTTGCCAGCTCCACCAACTCTCCACTCATAGTGGCCGGCGGTGGCGGAGGTACAGACCACATAAAAACCTATCGTCCAGAATGTGACGGCACCTCCAATCCAGAGGGTGGTACTGCTTACGGTACTTCATGGACAGGTGGACGTGATGGTAACGGGGCACCAGGGTATGACAGGGGATGTGGAGGCGCAGGGTTCTACACAGATGGTGGTAACAGCAACCATCATGATTGCACGGGCGGCAAGTCATTCCTCCACGGCGGAGAGGGGGGACTTGGAGTTAACTACAGACCTAGTTCAGATGGCGGATTCGGCGGCGGAGGTGGTTCTCATGGCGCAGGCGGTGGAGGGGGAGGCGGGGGGTGGGTACTCAGGTGGGGCTGGAGGTAGGGCTTCATATGACCATTGTGCAGGCGGAGGTGGTTCATTCAACGCTGGCGTCAACGCAACGGGAATCAACGGTTACAACACTGGCCACGGTTTTGTCACCATTGAGTATTTTGGTTACAATTATTAATTATTATCAAGGGTTTCCTGTATATTTGAAGAATAATATGACGACACGAAACAAGACTTGCACTGTGGTCACACCGAACACTTAAATCACCGTAATCAGCTATTATAATTTGACAGTATTTATAGATGATCTATTCAATAATAATAATAATAATAATAATAATAATAATAATAATAATAATAATTTTATTAACGTCTCACATTTAAAAAAACACCCTACGAAAGGTTATGAGAGACTAAAACCTGTACTACTGCATTTGAAATCCATAGAAGTTCTTTAAAATTATTACTTATCAATAAAACACAATTCAATTGATCTAACTGCAAAAATGGGACCTTTGAATCCATTCATATTTATTTCAATAAAACCTGCTGAAACACGAGTTCTGTCTTTTATTCATTTATTTATTTANTTGCATGTATGATGCGTAATTTAATTTTTTTTTCAACGAAGACAGACCTAGTAGGAAGATTTGCAACATAACCATCTTCGGTGACTGATTTTTACCATATACTTTTTTATTTAAATTGTGATTATCATTTCGTCATTATTAAATCTCATTACATTAAAGACCTCTTGAGTTTTTATCTTATTTATATGAATTTGTTTGTTTCACTTAAAATACAATATGTCTGACACTTAATGTCATTGAAGTATCCTAAATGAAAGTAAACGTGAGCCTAGAAATAAGTCCAATAAATATGATTCTTGTTCACTCAAGAAACAAACAAGCTTTAAGCAGCGACATTTTTAGACAATGAAGCCTGCTAATGTCAGCCTAGGATTGCATCTTTCCTCCTTTTACAAGATGAGAAAGAAAACTAAAAAAAAGGGAAATATCGTCAATGGTTTCAAAATCGACATATTCTACAGTTCTTTTGAAAAATCCGTTTTGGTCTTCATAAATTTTCTAAAATTAGTAGGTTTCGTTTACTATTATTTTCCTTGTAAAAAGTTTAAGCTGCAATATCATCTGTCGCGTCTGTAATTTGATGTACATGCATGTGTATTGAAGGCCTAAGGCGTTTAAGAAGAAAGATTTAAGCAGGCAATGCGCATGCATTTCGAACGGACTTCTTTTTGAAGAAGTGATTAATTAATATTGAGCCTTTCGCACATTTTTACTACAAGAGATTCATGCCCGAATTTTAATCCCTTCCCCCAGCTTTAGAACTTTTCAAAATCTGTCCAATATGCCCCCAGTAGCAACCTCATGTTGAATGTAGGAAGTTACTAATTTAAAAGGTTTGGGCTGCCACATGTACGCCAGGATCGAGGTCACTCACACTGACTACCTATGAACTTACCAAAAGAGATGTTTTCACTTACATTTGATCCAGTATTGGATCCGCCATTCTCCAGAATATTTCATCTGGTCACAGGGATCCCACTTTTTTCTGGCATAGGCCGATAGAATCCAATCTGCACGGTATTGACCTACATGTTTAGCGTACCCAAAGATCGACATCCTCATAAAGGCCTAAGTCGTACGATTTTCCTGTGTGATTGGGATGGTATTCCTAGGAATGGAAGCCCGAGGTCCCAAATGATAAGTACATGTACAGGTTAGGATTAGGCGGAGTATTGGGGTTAGTATATGGGACGGATAACAACTCTACAAAGTAATGGGGAACAGACTACGAATTCTTGGCGGACTACCCTGTAGGCCTACCGATCCTGTCACACCGATATTCGATCTTATCGCTTTCGCAATTGTACTTTTTTAAGCGAAAAAATAAATTGACACAAAATGATTTCAATTATCAAAGCACAATACACTGCCAAACTTGGAGCGAAGATTCACTTTAAATAGAATCCAAATGGTACAATAAATTCAAATTCAAGGAATTATTTATAAGGATATCGGCACACAACGCAATAAATTCAGATAAGTCAGAAATTGAAATTTTGTTCAGAATTCTGTCCAAAATTAATATAAGAATAAACAACAACAACAACAACACGTGTCAATATTTTATTCTATCAAATAAATTAAATAAAAATAGATTTAAAAAAATACTGCGTGTAGACTGTGCACGTTAGTCTTGGAACAATTTAGTTTTGATAATTGATAATTTCACACACGGAATTGAGTTTTTTATATCCAATTCACTCACGTCACGTAAGCAGTACAGTAGATATGCAGGAAATTCCAGTGTCTCCTGAAGAGGTCATCTTGCCGCTCAAAATTGAAATCTATGCTATTTTCAACTTATTCTACCTGTACAGGTACCGCGGTACTTTCAACGCGATCGCAGTGACATCAAGGCGTTAGATCTCCGCAAAATTACTGGCTCTACATGTATTTTCTGAGTGATATTGTAGATAATTGTATATTGTATCTCAATTGTTTATTAATCTTTTCTATAATCACGTGCACCAGGCCCGTAGCCAGGGGGGGTTCGGGGGGTTCGAAAGAACCCCCCTCCCTTTTTGCTGGAAAAAGGTCCACTCTGTGTAAAATTTGACCTAGGTACATGAGGATTATATGGTAAAAGGTCCTCTTTTTCAGAAAGAGAACCCCCCCTTTGAAATTGCTGGCTACGGGCCTGTGCACGTATTACACGGTAACTGTGACAGGTATTATGACAGACCGCGGTGTAACGAAACGGGGCTCCGTGTAACAGAAATTTAGTCCGCCCTCCATTAGTTAAAATGGTTAGGGTTAGCCTGACTTAAAGTGGGTAAAAATCTAGGGCGAGGTTTACCTGTATAAATTAATGGGAAGCAGACTCTATCATGGGGAACTCTCTGTCAAATTACACCGGAATCAGGAGGGGAATTTAGCCCCTTTATCTGATGTGTGCTTGCAATTGCGCGCTCTCCGAGAGGTGAAGGTAGGAAAATAGACGACCGCAGTACGTTATAAAGTCGTGAACTACAATGTATCAAAACATAGAAATACTACATTTGTGGTATGGTTTTAGTGGATCGTATTATGAAAACATTTTGAAGTATAATTAATATGGCTAACCATATGAAAACGATTTTTACGTTTTTTATTTGTTATGTTTTTAGTCTGGAGTGTATCAAGGTACCCACTTACGGTAGGTGAAGAAGCCTCGCGGTACGTTAAGGTGGTATTTCGACAAATTTGAATTGTGCTACAAAGCAAAGTGCGCATTTCCCCCTCATTTCCATTAATTGAAGTACATCCCACGGATGTTATCTCTGAACGTGAGGCAGTTAGAACTGTCTGGTCTGTCTGGCCGATTTCTTCTTAGATGAAAGCCCAAGGTTACATGTACAGTACAGGTACATGTATAGGACGTCTGCTTGCTTGCTCGAATCTGAATGGGTTGACGCCGCAAGGGCTTTCTCGGCATAGACGCCACGGGAGAGAAAATGATTTTCGGGTATTAGTCACTGAGTACTGCTGATCTGAACGAGTCAACAGACTGCAGACAAACTATAGAATCCTCTAGATGGTCCCAGTCCACTATGGTTCTTCGGTGTGATTGAAATGCGCAATACACCGCAATACAGCGCAACACAGTGCAATACACTTCAAAAATCAAATCCAGTTGCAATTACACTAAAGAAATGACCATTCCCAGCAAAGTAGGGTGATATAAAAACAACCTATATTACTAGGTAAGTAATATCGTTGATATAAATTAACAAATCAGCAAGCCTTTTATGTTGTCCGGTAGGCAGCCATGTTGGCGAGTGGCTCTTCTTGGATATATTACTGGCCAAGAAGAGCTACTCGCCAACATGGTGGCTGACCAAACAATGAAAAAATTGTCAAGTTGTATCAGCAATATTAATAACTATGTACTATATTTTGCTTTTATATCACCCTATTTTATTTGAGATTACTCTTTCCTTGTGTTTACTTGCAACTGGACTTGTGTTATCAAGTGTATTGCGCTGTGTTCCGCTGTATTGCAGTGTATTGTGCATTTCAGTCACACCAATGGTTCTTGGCAGGAAAGAGTTTGTGAAGATTTCTGTTTTGCCTGCAAGAGGGTAGAAGCATTTGTTAGCTTAGTTATCAGCCAGGAGAAATCCTTGGTTTTGATTGTGGATTTTTGTCAGGTTGTCCTGGTGACGCATAGATGGTAGGAGGTTCTCAGTCATTTAAATAGAAATGTAGGTCTATCAGCTTTACACCTTTCCCAGAGTGGAGCTAGGCCTAAATTGTTAAACATTTTTGAGACACACCTTGATTTTCTATCAGCATAATTATATGTGATAAAGCATGCTGCCTGTCGTTGAACTTTCTCGAATTTACCAATATATCTTTTTTTTTGGAAGGGACCGCACACTTTGGGGTTATATTCAAGAGTGGAATGGACAAAAGGCAGAGCATGAGGGTTTCCTGCAGGGTGATGGGCAGTGTTTAATGTTTTAGGAATTCTAGAGAGCAGCTAGCTTTTGTAGTTAAGTTGTTGATTTAAGGGCCCCATTTAAGATCTTTGGAAAGAATGACTCCAAGATAGGGGTTTTTGGAAACTTAGTCTAAATCGTGGATGGTAAACTGACAGAAGTGGGAGGATTTTTGGTTAACTGACAGTATGTAGCATTTTCTTGCATTAAAAGACAAGCCCCATGTTGAAGCTCCTGATTCAAGACTGGTCAAGTCCTGTTGTAGAGTGATACGGTCAGTAATACTTTTAATGGGTCTGTAGAGTAAGAAGTCATCTGCAGACAAGCAAACTTGTGACTTAACAGTATCAGGAACATTATTTACTGTATGTGACTGAAAAAGCCTTAGATGACACATTATGCAGACACTTACCATAGGAAGTAAGGCCAAAAACTAAGATATTCTGCTTGCCGTGAAACTGTATATACCAGGGACAGTTTTCACTTATCCTGGACAGCAGCAATGTTTTGATATGATTTAATTGTTATCCTCTAGAAATTTAGTCTCATAATGGAGGCCACAATACGATGTAACTCTTTGGAATGTAATATGCCAGGGTACTGATGCTAGTGCAAGTGCTGGTCTCCAGTCTTATTGGAACCTGATGTAGACACAAGAAAGACACAATCAAGAGAATGTACTCTCTTGCCAATTATTGTACATGGTGCGGGTCCTAATTAATGGGAAGCTTTACCACTAGATCCCATTTTAAATCTTTGGTCCATAGGCACTAGGGATGTGGTGTTAAGTTTGGGAGGGGGGGGGGTTAATGTCCTCACTTTTGACTGGAAATATTCTGCTCTGAATCAAAATTAGATTAAAGTTCTATGCTGTATTTTAGGTTGGGTTGACTTATTAAGTGTGTAAGAAAGCTAAACTGTAAACGAAAAAAGATCTCCACTTTTTTTAATGGGTGGCTACGGGCCTGAATTTACAGAGTGGACTTAAGATGCACTGTGTATTTTCACCCCAGATTAATGCTGCCAGTGAAGGGAGGAGAAGAAATGGCAAACTGCACCAATGGCACTGTTACCAGTCCAAGGCAGTCCATCACTCCACTGTCCTGTCTGCTCCCCGGAACTGATGACAAGCTTGCCTTGATACTGCTGAACTTAGATGGACACAAGACACCAGGACTGAAGACTGTTCTGGGTACACTATGGGATAAAGGTGGAGTACCATTGGAACATATGATATTTCAGTTGTGCTGCTATCTGATATTGTTATAGCTATAATTCTGTTAAATGTTATGTTATTTATTTCAGTCTGACTCATTTTCTATAATTATGGTATTACTAACTATCAAGATAAAGTATTAATGAAGTAAATATGATAAATAAATTAGATAACATGAAAATGGTTTCAAAATGAAGTATTATAAAGTTTGTTTCAGCCTTAATTATCATAAGTCATTCAGGTGAACAGGAGGGTCATTGATGCAACATGGTGACAATCTGATAAGCATGTTCCTCTTCTGAAATTATAAATCAACATTTTTCTTAAACACAAAATATCAAAACATTGTATTGCAGAATAGTATGTATTTAGTCTGTTAATATTTAATGTAAAGTAATTACGGCATATTTAGCTGTTCTACGGGCGTGTGCAGATGGAGGCGCTAACAGTTTGTATGACACCATGGCAACCAGCAACGAGGAAGACAAACACATTCCACACTTCATTTCTGGAGACTTTGACTCGGCCAGACAAGAAGTTCTAGACTTTTACAAGAAGAAGGTGATTATAGTTCTCCCCTCCCTCCCCCCCGTTCCTTTTTTTACCTCCCCCAAGGAGGTTATGTTTTCACCCCCGTTTGTCTGTTTGTTTGTCTGTCATCAACACAACTCAAAAAGTTGTGGACTGATTTTGATGAAATTTTCAGGAACTGCCAGAAGTGCGCCAAGGTGCTTTTCTAGTTTTCTTTTTTCTTTTGTGCTCAACAAGTGCAATTTAGTGTTTGTCTGAGTTAAATAAAAGCTTATAAAGATTAATGAGAAAAAAAATATTTGTAATAATTATTGAAAATTTTATATGGGAAAAAAGAATTAATTTTTTCATTAGAATAAAAAGCTAAGTCCACTGAATTTCTCATTTCGCAAAGTGGAGTCAAAACAAAAAAAAATCAATTTTTGAGTTTGTATGTTGGTTTTTTTAAAATAGAGTTGGAATTAATAGTTAAAAAGTTAAAAAAAAAACTTGCAGGTTGATTGTTCAGTACTGTTAACTGTTAAGGTGAAACAATTTATTTGTGATGTTGTATTTTTCAACAGGGAGCTGAGATACACAAGACACCAGACCAGGATGCTACAGATTTTACCAAATGTTTGCAGTTGGTTTTGGAAAGAATCACTTCTCATCATCTTCAGGTGAGATAGTGTGAAGTAATCAGAGAGAGTTTTTCTAGTGAGAGATGTGGATTACCAACATTCAGGTCACATCGAAGCATATCTAATGTAAGTCTCATCTTCAGGTTAACAGTATCTCCTTGTGCATCCCCTCCATACTCCACTGATCATAGTATTCCTTGTATACCTCAGGGACTATAAAATGCTGATTAACACACTACAATTCTTTTGATCTTCTAGGTTGACAGCATAGTTGTTGTTGGAGCCAATTCTATGTCCAGATTTGACCATATTTTAGCCAATGTAGACACTCTATATCAAGCAAAAGACTTGACAGACAAACCTGTCTTTCTGATTGCTGGCATGTCCATGGTGTATCTGCTTTCACCGGTAAGTAAGTTCCTGGAAATTTCAAAATTTTAAAGACTGAACTAAGAACATATTGTCACATCTGACGTCCTTTCATTTAAGATAGCCCTAGTATTTCCATTTAGTCCAGAGTGAGGCACATTTAACAAATGTCTGTCCCAAATTGTATAACATCTTACTTTCTTGTCCAACGTAATACATTATTTATATGGTCAAAGTACAACAACTTACAATTATGTCCCTCACAATGTCACATCTAGCTCAATCTTGACACAAATTCATGTCTGACAGTCTTGTCCCTCAGGCTGTCACATCTAACAAAATCNAGTTGGAATTAATAGTTAAAAAGTTAAAAAAAACTGTTGTAGATTGATTGTTCAGTACTGTTAACTGTTAAGGTTAAACAATTTATTTGTGATGTTGTATTTTTCAACAGGGAGCTGAGATACACAAGACACCAGACCAGGATGCTACAGATTTTACCAAATGTTTGCAGTTGGTTTTGGAAAGAATCACTTCTCATCATCTTCAGGTGAGATAGTGTGAAGTTATCAGAGAGAGTTTTCTGGTGAGAAAACTGGATTATCAGCATTCAGGCTAGATCAAACAAGAGCATATATAAATAAATGTAAGTCTTATCTTTAGGATAACAATATTTCCTTGTGTATCCTCTCTGTACCCCAATGCCCATAGTATTCCTTGTATACCTCAGGGACTATAAAAATACTGATTAACGTGCTATATTTCTTTTGATCTTCTAGGTTGACAGCATAGTTGTTGTTGGAGCCAATTCTATGTCCAGATTTGACCATATTTTAGCCAATGTAGACACTCTATATCAAGCAAAAGACTTGACAGACAAACCTGTCTTTCTGATTGCTGGCATGTCCATGGTGTATCTGCTTTCACCGGTAAGTAAGTTCCTGGAAATTTCAAAATTTTAAATACTTCACTAAGAACATATTGTCACATCTGACATCCTTTCATTTAAGATAGCCCTAGTATTTCCATTTAGTCCAGAATGAGACACATTTAACAAATTTCTGCCCCACATGGTATAACATCTTACTTTCTTGTTCAATGTAATACATTATTTAATATGGTCAAAGTACCACAACTTACAATTATGTCCCTCACAATGTCACATCTAGCTCAATCTTGACACAAATTCATGTCTGACAGTCTTGTCCCTCAGGCTGTCACATCTAACACAATCACAACACACTGTCACTGCCAGCACACTGGTGGTTTAATTACTGTCACACCTAACACAATCACAACACACTGTCACTGCCAGCACACTGGTGGTTTAATTACTGTCACACCTAACACAATCACAACACACTGTCACTGCCAGCACACTGGTGGTTTAATTACTGTCACACCTAACACAATCTCATCCAACATTCCAGGGTCAACACACCATACGTGTATCTACAGGTATAGAAGGAAAATGGTGTGGTTTATTACCCATAGGTCACCCTTGTAAAGATGTCACTACTACAGGGCTTAAGTGGGATCTTAGTAAGTAGGAATACTTTTTTTTTTTTACATATCAATATTAAAACTAGTCATATTTCGCTTGCATAAAATTTTGTTCATCATGGGAAATTTTTGTTAAAGAACACCAAATAATTTGATATCAAACTAGAAATATTGTTTAATTATTATCATTATTACATATATATGACTATATATTTTTGCCATTGATTTAAGTTATTTTTGTAAGCAATACTAGAACTTGTAATGTCATATGATACCCTATCCATGATAGTAATACTTATTACAACTTTAAAGACACCATTATTATATTGCATGTCAACTTCTTTCACACTGAACATCACTGGTAATATTTCTAATGCATATTTTAGATCACGACACATTAGAATTTGGCACCCTGGTCAGTACGTCCAATGAATTTGTGGACCAAGTGGTCACGGTAGAGACTGATAAACCCTTGGTTTGGACTATGGGGTTCAAGTTACACTGAGGGGATGATAGGAATGCTTAGACTGGAAGTATAGTCGGACAGAAAGCATAGGTTGTGATCCTGAGTCGACTAAATTAGACCAAATACCTCAAATAGAGAACACTGATTAAGCCTACAAGCAGACAAAATGAGAATGTCCAGAAGTTTTCTATAGCTACTAGAATGTGACATGTCCAGAAAACAAGGTTACATAGACAAAGCCATTGTGAGTTCATATTTAATTTTCATAAAGCTGTTTCTGATCCTAACTTACTCTAGATCTGTGGTTTGTTGCTGGTCTTTTCAGTTAAAATTTATCTTTAGTCTCAGCTTACACTGGCGATGCATATGGTGCTTATTGTAAGTTAATGTTGGCTTGTTTTTCAAAATATAGGTCTATTATATTATATCAATGAAGAAGTTATATATAGTATTTAAATAATTCTTAGGGTGGTAAGAGTGAGTTGGTATAATTTAACATTGTATAATGTGCCATTTAATGGGATATTGCAGGTGCCAGTGTTTTATTTAATTAGTGATATTTAATTAGCAACGGGATATACAAGATTAGATTTACATACAGTGATGGGCTGAACAAATTTTTGTCAGGAAAACTGGGTTCAAATATGACACCTTTACTAGATATATCTTTCTTATTTGGAGTTTACGTGAGAATATGAGAAAGGTTACTTTATTTCATGCTAATTTCACAAAATGTATTTAAAATTTTCTATAATACATGTGATTTTCATGACAAGTTTACACAGAATATTTTGTGTCATGCAGATAGAGAACTGATAATTTAAGCAAAAATATTATGTATTCTGTCCATAAATTGTGTCATACCAATTTGTTGTCAAATCACACATTGTCAAATGAAGAGAAACCAACCAGGAAATTATCCATGGTTCAATTTTGTCCAATTTTACTTGTAACCACAGTGCATAGTCTGACATCTCCGCCAAATCACACAATCCCTTGATTTTATACGAAGTCGTTTGACTTTGGGCTATCTCAACAAATCCCGTTTCTGCAGATTTTGAATTGCCACAGATGTATGGATCTTGGCGCTTTTGAAATGTCAGTCTTCATTTCCTGCCAGTTCTGTATTATTTCATGAACAGAAAGGTGCTTTTTGCTGAATTATTCTCAGTCACAAAGATTTTGTTTTACTAGTCACACTGATACAATACCAAGCTTTAAAAATGTTCTGTTCAGATTTAGAAAAGTTGGTCCTAATGATTTATCAGGCAGCGATGATGATTTTCTTTACAGAATATAAAAATAGAATTATATTTTTTATTTTCAGCACTTTCATTGGAGTTATAAACCAGGAAATAAATTTTTCAAATTTGCTTGTGTGTGCAACTTTCTTTATTAATAACTAAAGATGAAATCTATAGGAAGTTCAGTGCTAATGAGAAAAAAACAGTGTAGTTTTTGACATATATTTTATTAAGTTTTTATTCTCATTTTGTTTTCCATAAATTAAATGAGTAAATAAGAATTCATAGTCAAAAGAAACCCTACAAGTGCACATATAAGTATAAAAGAACTGTTTTACATTTGGGGTTTCCCCACCATTTCACATTTTTTAGACAGTTTGTTGTCTTTATTTAAAGACAAGCAATTACTTGAATTCACGTCACTGCATGTCAAATAATAATAATTTTATAATAATGCCTGTAATATGTTACCAGCTTAATGATAATATGTAAATAATATTTTAACCTCACAGATATTTTTCAGTAATTTCCGTAGCTGTAAACTGAACCTTTAACTTTAAAAACTGGCACACATAGCAGAGCAACAGGCATTTCTTTTCAAAACATCGCTGCTATGCAGATATGATACCAATACAGTGCAAGCTTTCTAAAGGTCTTATACATAAAGTATGTAACCGTAAAAAGCATACTTAAATTTATCATTTAACCTGCTTTATATGCAAGTACTTTGTAGTCTTGTGGAGGCTGACTATTTCTTTAATTGAATAAATAACAACCCAACAGAATTGGTGAAAAAAAATTAATAAAATGAAATAAAATAAGTTTCCATGAAACACTGTCCATGATATACAAAATTTTTCATTGGCCTTGGCTTTTAACTCCCCTCTGATGAAAAACTTCAAATATCGTCTCTCATTTTTTACCTTGCATTTGACAGTCTGCTCGACTACCCCCGCCCCATAACACTTTAGATGGTTACAATGTAGCACCCCCCCCCCTCCCACCAACATCAAGGTCTTTCAGAAGCTCCTCTTTATCTATCAACATCTCCTAGATTCCTTTGTTGAACACTACTCTGATACTCCAGGTGAACTTGCACATTCTTGGGTGTGGCAATGACCTCTAAGGTTTTTCAATGTAAAGACTGTTGCTTATCATCAGACTAAGAGCAGAGAGAGAGAGAGAGAAGAGTGTTAGATAACACCTACTTAGACATTTAAGAAATGCAGCACCACTTTGCAGCAGTTGTATTCAAGACAATTATGAAATCAATGCAATAATATCAGTCAAAGTTTGGTTTCATACTTTTACCCTACAAAGCACATGAATTTGGCCTTTATATGCTAATATTTGCCTTTACTATTCAAGTAGATTGGTAACAGTCTAGCTGGAAATCCTGAATATTGCCACAAGTAAGAAGCTGCCAGCTCAAGCATGGAAACTGGAGCAAATAGACAAAATAAATTAAGCTCAATTTACGACATTAGTTTACAGAATGATAAAAAACGTGATAACTGTGCAGCTCTTTATAAGTTAAAAGGGTATTTCTACACAGACCATAGGTTTCTAGGTGTACATATATCCAAAAAACATACACAATCATTATATCAAAAAAAAAAAAAAAAAAAAACCTGAAGAGCCCCTTGGGTTTCTCAAAGAATGTGACACGATACCAAGAAATGCAAGGGAACAATTTGCCCCCTCAAGCTTAATGCAAATATATTTTCTTTAACGTATTTAACTGAAAGAATTTCATGAAATCCAATTATTCATTAAAATAATAAATAAATGGTTACACCTAAGGGATGTGGGTGTACATGTATATCCTATGCGAAAATCAAATATGACTGTTTTTCATCTTCACAGCGACCCTGACCTAATTTTCACTAACAATACTGATGGCCTTGACATTGGCAAATATTACCATTTAAAGTCAGAGAAAACACGTTCTCTTTGCTGGGACTTTCAGGATGACGATAATGCAGTTTTTCATTTCAAAATGGTCATATCCATAAGAAACAGTGAAATGATTTTTTTTCTTGCTGACCAAGCAATGCCCACTGATGACAGTGTTTCATGTTTTTCATACGAACTTAGTTCACCACATGAAAGGTTCTCTTTTAACCCTTGTCTAAGAAATCAATTAACAGTCAGTAACATTTCTGGATCCAACTGTATTTTTTTCAGTGACCTGAGTTTTAACCATTTACAAGTTCTGTTAACCAAAAAGTTATTTTAAAACAATGTAAAAAATTCAAATAATAAAAAAATAAATAAATGCAGTCTTATCCAGTGATATTTTGTGTTTTATTGACATATACAGTAAAACAGCTTAATGAATAAAATGACTGGCTTAAAAAAACAAAATGCCACATTAACCATATGTCCCAATAAATAACTGTTTAAAAAACAACTTGTTGCCAAGACTGTTTTTAAAATCGTACGCGATTCTTAGAAGGTGAGCCTTCTGCACACACGATAAAGAGACAGTGCCCTGTTAGCTAATAATACCATGACAACTGAGCTGGCTGTGCAGTAGCTTATCTATGATTTCATAGGTGAAAGAGGAATAGGAAAAGAGTACCAAGTTCATTGCCCCTTCACTTTTTCCATGTGCAATCATCAAAGTTTACTCACAACATGAAACTTATGACAATAGCGTAAAAAACCTTCCCATGGGAAAGGACCAATTGCTGCTGATGAAATGCAACTACAATAACCCCTTGCACACAATCCACAAAACAAAGCCTTCAATGTGACATCGTTCTTCTAAAGGAAATTTTGCTTTCTATACATTACACACCATTCCAAATGGCATTTTTCTCCCAATTCAAATAACCTTGCTCTTAAAAGAAAGTGACTGGAAAATCTTCAGACAAGACTTATGACCAAGTACTGCACTCTTGCAATAGGGGTCACCACTGTTCATTTTTGTGATGATCACACAGTGAACGACACATAAGAATGTCTTCTACATCCAAACACATGGTTATAACTGCTGTCACCTGAATCAATCCTGAAGAATAACAAGCATCTTCACTTTCTGATCAAAACATACAAAATTGTGGTAAAACCTGTGATAAATCTGGTAACAAATCTCTGGCAGCATGGCACATCTGTGTGGCAAAATGGATCATCTTCCTTCATTATTTACCAGGTTACACACATCATCAGCACTTTAATGGTGAATCCACAGAAATCCATCAACCCGTTTTCACAAGAATTACCAGATGATCTTGTGTGAGGTGGTGGCACACTTTATCAATAGAGTCTCAACCCACGGTAACATGTATGGTAACTCGTGACTCCAGTGCAACACCTACGTGGTAACACATTTCCAAGTGTCCGACCAAACCCATGGTAACATCCATTCCTCATCACCTGTGTGGTAGTTCAGCTAGGGCTCAAGCACATCAACCAAGTGGTGATTTGACCAGCATCTATTCCATAATATCCTGTATTGTAATACTTCTTCCTAATACATCCTTGTACTGCCCGCTCAGTGCTGCTGACTCCTTTACTTAACAGCAACCACTAAGCATTCCTGGCAATCATCAATACGACCCCAAGGCAAGTGTCATGTGTCAAAGATTATCGATGATATGTTTACAGACCACATCTCTGTCATTTCATAGGTAAGGGTAACATGTCACATAGGGTAGCATATTCATATATGGTAACATATCCATATGTGGGAACATGTCCATATATGGTAACATGTCCATGTATGGTAATATATCCATGTACAGTAGCATGTGGATCTCTGCAGCAATACAGCCACATGGTAACACATATTAACCTTTATGCTATAATACATGCAGGTGTGGTAACATGTCACCTTTGTGGTAACATTTAAAAAAAAACTTCATGGCGGATGCTAATGCCGTCCTATAAATTGTCATTGCAATTGTCCCTAAAAGTGTCACATGACCTGCTGCGTCATAATATTGTACAACATCTGCAGTAGCGTTGTCTACTTCCTCCAACAGAGGGCGGTGGAGTCACTGGGGCAAAGTAGGCGTGAACTTTGATGTCTGGGAGGTGATTCTGCAAGGAAAACAGGACACATCCTAATTATTCAATGACTATACACTCAGAATTGACTTCAATTAAATCTCAGGTTTTGCATAGGGGAGACAGCATTCAAACACACATCAAGTGCACACAATTGTTGCGTAGGGCCTTTCCTTTAACTAAATCCTTGGTCTGAAGTGAAACATTTCAACCCCCTGAGAGGTCTGGATAGAATTTTTAACAACATTATGACATATTATTTATGGCAACGTTTTAACATTTCAGCTGACAGTAGGCAGGTATGAACATAGAGCTCTAGATAGGTTAGCCAGATGGTCGAATCATCTGTGTGTCTGTGCATCGCACAAATGTGTGTGTGAATGATTGAATGTACTTTATGCGTAAATGTTTGCCTTTTAAAATGTGTGTGTGTGTTTGTGCAAGGGTGTTTATGAATGTTTGCCAGTGTGTGCGCATAAACGAATGCATGCACTGTAAAGTGTCTGTATGACTACAGGACTCCATTATGACTAAAGGACTCCATTATGACTACAGGACTCCATTAGGACTACAGGACTCCATTAGGACTACAGGACTCCATACCCTTAATCTCTTGATCCCTGCCCTGGTGATGAGCTGGCAGTCGTACAACTCAATCCTCTCCATGCCCTGGCAGCCCATCAGGTGTTCCAGCGACGCGTCTGTGATGAGGGGGCAGTTGTCCAGCTCCAGGACTGACAGGTGTTCTGTTGAGCATGCTCCACCGCCAAGATGGCGAATGCCTTCGTCTGTTATAAGTTCACAGTGTGATAGGCTCTGAAAGAGGGAAGACGTAATGGTAACTGTGAGTCATTTTTTTTTCAACGGGTGAAATACAATTCAGTTAACATCAGAGATACTATCGGTATCAGTTCACTTTGAGTGATTAAAATTTTTATAGCCAATAACAGCTGGTTGGTGAAAAAAATTAAAAGTACTTCTTAGCATGCACTTGGGCACAAGTGTCTTAGTAATAGTGTGTGTACATGTGTGTGTGTGTTCATGTAAACATGTTCATGTCTAAGGTCTTACTCACCAGTTTTGATAGTAATGGGCAATGCATAGCAAGATACCCGAGAGTGGCATCTGTTATCTGAAAATAGTCATCAAAAAGTCAGACAAACTGATACACCCTTATCAAAGGACATAAAATAAGACATAAAATAAACTAGCAGAACACAGTAGTACACTATCTTGAATATATTGGCATTTATATTTGCTGTAGAAATCTGATTCCAAGAGAGTGCAGCCAACTAACACAGCTCACTGACATCATTTGACAACTTTTGTTTCCAGTTAGCTTGTAATCTCTATTCTCGACCCTCCCCCCCCCCCCCAATCCACTCCAACTTACAACATTATACATTTCCCAAATACCACGTGTCCATCCAAAATAAATGCTTCACTAAATAAATAATCAAATATATTAATAATTTACCAAGAGACACTCCTCCAAGTCCATTCTTTCCAGCATGTGACAATTCTGGAATTAATGAAAAGATGAACTCAAGTGTGAGAGGAAATGAGAAGAAAAATTTATCTGTTTACAATCATCAGGTTCATCTAATATTAAAAGTGTACATCGCTGATTCTACTGAATGTCTTTTAATGTCATTTACAGTTGCAAGTATTTTGGGGGCAAAAGTGCACAAATCATGTTCTTTATTACAAATTGTTGGATGTTCTTTTATGCATCTGTGAGATTTTTGTCTAAAAACAGTCAGATTCTTATATCACTACAGGGCATGTATAACGCCTGCCTCACACCAACCAATGTAATTAAATTTACCCTGGTAAGTGCTTGGAACCCTCCATCTGTGAGCTGTGAGCAACCTGATACCTCTAGTGTTCTGAAGAGAATAACAAAGAATACAGTTCACGCACAAATAAGACACATAACACGAGGCACTGTTACCCCAGGGTCTTAGTGGTAGGGATAACATCTGGGTGGGGTTTCATCAAAGCTGGGCTAAGTAACTCGGAAGCATTGCAAATCACCTTTCATTTCAAGGCTATTAGGGCCTATATGGGGCGAGTAAATGACGAGTTATGGAATCGAGACGCTTCGATCGGTCACAATTCAATATGCTTTCAAGTTACGGAGCCCTGGACTACACTATCCACTGTTGTTACAGGTCCTTTTTTTCTATTAAATGCACTTCTAGGCTTTTTAGATATCATAATGAATACCTATATTGTAGCTGTAGTAAAGGAAGCCTATAAATATATATATTTATATGTATCACAGAGAGCTCAACAAATTATTATTATTATCACCAACTCACCTTAGCTCGTGACATCCTTGCCCCAGTGCTACTAATGAAGCATCAGTGATATGTGAGCAGCCAGACAAACAGAGCGATTGCAAGTTATGGCAATGATCACTGACGTGGTGGATGCCATCATCGCCAATATTCTGAAATAATGCAGCAATTCACTGTTAAACATTAGCACAGGAAGATTGTAGCTGGGAATGTGTTAATGGTGGTATGTTATGGTAGCATTAAGTGGAAGAGAGAGTAGGTCAGTCCATGTTCATTTACCAATGGGTTCTAATATCCATAATTAGGCTTAATGTTAGCAAAATAATTACAATGACTGGAATACAAATAAACAAATGATACATAACAGAACATTAAGATTAAATCAGATATCAATACATTAGCCCATGCTTTTGATCCATAATATGTTTTAGATCTCTAATAAAGGCACTTTGCATCTGGCTAATTGATCAATCTTTATTTTCTTTCTCAAAGTAACACTACAATTACACTATGAACAAAGGAAGAGTGACTCACAAAACAACAATGTAGGTTCAACGTCCGTAGCTCTGTACAATTCTCTGCTAAATATTTGATTCCTTGGTCATTTATCTGAAAGATAACACATGCAAAAGTTGATTCTTTTAACTAAGAAGTGAAGAGATAAGAGTCAAGACTAAGGGTGGTATAGAGGCCTTTCAGAATGAGTTATGCTGACCTAAATAGTGCAACCTAACTCCACAGGGACTCTAAATGAATGCAGTCAGATTAAGAGAGTAACATGCCCCTTCTGGTTCCCATCATACTGGTATTATCACCACCAGTAATTCTGTATACTACTCAACACTAGGAGACTTGTTGGACCTTACTCATTCTTAACATCTCCATAAATGGCTATCACTAATGATATACAACACAGTCCTTTATACAGCCTTTATAAAAACACATTAAAAAGAAAAAACACACTCTCTTTCACTCTCTTTTTCCCTCCTTCAAACACACACAGTCCTACCTGTTGGCAACCATTATACAAACACATCAAAAAGAAAAAAAAATCTCTCTCTCTTTCTCACAAACACACACACACACACACACACACAGAGTCCTACCTGTTGGCAACCTTTACAGGTAAAAGATCTGAGCTTGGTGCAGCCCTTGGAAAGCCACTGGAGTCCCTCGTCTGTGATCTGGACGCACCACGAGATATTCAGATGGTCCAAATGTTTACAGCCTTCTCTGCAAAAGTGGACTCACTCGATTTATTTACTTTCCCTTTACCATTGTTACAAAATTTACAAACAATATCTTGGTATATGTTACTTCTCAATGCCAGTTCAATCTTAAACTGCAGGCTAAGGAGCATGTTAGGATTTTGAAACAATTTTTTTTGTTACTTTTTCACAAAAACACTAAGTAAATATTTCCATGAAAATTCTGAACTTAGGATAAATAATTTTAAGATAATAATTCAATGTCATAATCATACAAAGATAAAAGGAAAATTACTGGGACATGTCGACAAATTACCAATTTCCCCCAAGTTAAACTCAGACTTAATGTAACACAAAATAGTACAATAAGTTAGTATTTAACTGTACTCATTTAAAATTCATATTACTGGTGGGTAAGGCTTGGCTACATGAAGGAGAGAAGGAGTTGGCATGAAACTTACCCCAGCGCCTTCAAGCTGGCATTGGTAATGTTTGCACAAGAAGTAATATCTAGGTGTGACAACTTCTTACAGTGCTGACCTAAACTGTGACATGTGCTGAAACAGAAAGACTGAAATAGTTAGCAAACTGGAATAATTGAAAGTAAATCTGGAAGTACATGTCGGTAAACCCATTTTCAATGCATTTTCAAGTGTGTGTGTGTGTGTGTGTGAGAGAGAGAGAGAGAGAGAGAGAGAGAGAGAGAGAGAGAGAGAGAGAGAGAGAGAGACTCACCTATCTGTAATTTTTTTACAACTGTCTAAATTCAATGTTTCTATGTTTTGACATTGCCTGGAAAATGTTCTGAAAAGAAAAAGAAAACAATAATCACATACTGTCTGTCACTTTCACCCAAGAGACATTCCAAAGAAATCCAGGTAAACAGGTGCTTTAAGCTAAAGAAATCCATTAAGGTTATGCAACCTTGTAATGTGTCAGACTTCTAATATCCAGCTTTAAGCAATCTGGTTATTGAGAGATGCTGAATGCTTCTGGTTTATTAAATAAGTTGTATTGGCTCAATGGCTGCAACAATGCCTCCACACGCTGGCAGTTTATTAAAGCAACGTTATCTTTATTATCAAGACACATACTTTAGAGCACCATCTGTTATACACTGACATCCCTTCAAACTTAGTGACTTGAGAAATCCTCCACAACGTCTTGATATGTTCTCTACCACTGGACCCTGAAATATACACACACACCCATCACCTGACTTATATCACATGACTTGAAATATATATCACATGACTTGAAATGTATATCACATGACTTGAAATGTATATCACATGACTTGTGATAGGCATGTACCACATGACAGGAAATAGGTGACTTGAAATATAAACATACATGTATCACGTTACAAAGGCGTTTTCTTTTGAATGTCATAAGTAATTCTACTTACAGTACTAGTAATTATAAGCAGAATTCAGCCACCACATTCATTTATTGCACTAACTCCATAGGGACTCTTGCTGAATGCAATCTGATTTAAAACAACTACTATGCATTCTCCTGGCATTGAGTTCAATAAAGAAAAGGTGGTTCTGATAGAAGTACAATGGAAACAAGAGGAGGCGTGTCACTCTGTTAAAATTAACTGCATTCAGCAAGTGTTCCCATGAAGTAAGTACACAGTAGTTAGGTCGACAAGTCTATTGGGAACTGGCCCTTACTATCCATCCTTATCAGACCCTACCTCTACATCAGTCTGGAAATCAAACAAATCCACTCTCTGCCAGTTACTGCCATCTAATGCTAGGATGTTCCAATACTGAAAGTATAAATAATAATAGATATCTATGATAGTGTGTGTGCGTACGTGCATGCCTGTGTGTGTGTGTGTGTGCATGTGTGTGTGAAAATACAAATGAATAAATTATAAATGTGTGTGCATACGTGCATGCATGTGTGTGCATGTGATCTAATAAATCATCTCCTTACTGATCAGTATCATCTTAACTGAGAACACAAACATTAAATACATGAACTGGCTGGAATTAAACACGTGAAAAGCTCTCACCTTTGCCACCTGTGCACATCTGCAGAGTGTTACCACATCCAAATAAGAAAATATCCTAGAAAGTATAGAAAATTTGGGTCAAGATATTTACTACCTTACAAAACAACATTTCTGTTCTGAATGTATACCTAAATTAATGTATCAGTCTGTCTCTATGGGCCTTTTCACACGCTGTGTTACATGTATTAGTATTAAAAATCACTTCAAATAACTGGTGAGACCTAGCATGTGATTTTGCTGTATGTGTGTGTGTGTGGGGGGGGATGGGGGGGGGGGGGGGAGGGGGGGTCACTCACCTTCACAAGTTTACTCCTTAGATTCTCAACCAATCAAAATTAATCTGGTTAAATGTGTACATGACAATGTGATATAAAAGCTATTAAGTTGTCAATATCCTTTTTAAAGTATTTTAATACAAACAGGTGTAACGCACACATGGTGAGAAAAGGACCTATAGTAGAGATTGTAGCAAGGTAATAGTAATATTACACATATGTGGATAACACATTATGAAAATAAAATAATATATCATGAAAAAGGCCTCATTTCCAACAAAGGCCTACATAGATTGCCCTGATCAATGATCCGAAAATGACAATGTCCTGATTTGACCTTTGACCTAGATAAAAGGCACTGTTATCCAACTGGAAACCTCTACAATATCCAGCATCCCAATTTAACCTTAAGACTCAGCTCTGAATCAATATCCATATAGATAGCATGTACTTGAGCAGTCTAATAGGTAAGCTAAGGTCCATGAGAATTACAGTCTTTCCCATTAAGATTCATTCACGGCAGAAAATATTGAGATAAATGCCAAAGTGCCATATGATAAATGGATACAGTTATTACTACTGTAAGAAAAAGAATGAAACCTCCACATTGCACACACAATCATTTGTACAGAAACTGAATTTATGTAGCACCATTCCAATTAATGCAATCATCTGATATAAAAGAATTTAGTGTGGCTTCTAGACAAAATGGAACCTCTAAGCCCTCAGAATATATATATCTATATATGATTTTTCAAAACAAAAATATTTTCTATCTTTGGAACTGCCCCCCTTTTAACATTTTCCATACGTATTCTGACTCATATTTTCATCAGGAAATGACTGACGCTTGCCACACAGTTGGTCTGTGTGAACTTCTTTAATCCAAGACTGAAAACTAATCATCATCCTTAATACGAACTCCTGTATAGTAACTTAAATACAAATCGCATCAGGAGGATATCATATGTACTATACTCAGCCCGTATTCATGATGGAAAGACAAATCACCACATGTATATACTAGCTAGTAGCTGCCTTACTTGGAAAACAATATTGACATGAGCACATCATTGTACATTGAAACATTTTCAAAAAATAATAATAAACAGGTTTTAAACTCCTGATGTTAGTAGAATGAGAAAAAGCTAATGATTATATCAGTATGCTGGAAACAAGAGGATATATGTGTTCATCTGTTGACCTGATTGCTTTCAGAGAGAGTCCTCACGGATTTAGTGTGCCTTTGTAAGGTCAAAAAAAATTCACTGTGAACAGTCTCACAGACTAGAATAATTGTCCTTTCTTTACTTTTAACTCAACAGTATTGATTGTAATCAATATGCTAGTCCACAGCTTGTTGTCCAGGCATGGAGCCCCTCAGAAGACTGGGAATGTTAGTTTAAATTAATTTCCAAGACATCAGATTAATGAAGAAAACACCAAAATAACATGGTGCAAAAGTACAGTCTGGACTTGGTAATTTGAAAAGGAAATTCCAAAAAAAGTTGCATTAGTAATTGTACATCCCTTCCATCTTTACAATACTTTCAATGGCATCACTACTTTGTTACATATAGTAGTACCAGAGAAATCTGATGAAAAATTATTCAAAATAAATAAATAATAACAATAAATAAATAAAATTTTAATTCTTAAAACACTCATCTTTGCTCATGGGTATTTGTATTGATTAACTTATCAGAAGAAAAGCAACGGACTTTGTGAATATGTCTGCATATTTGCTGATCTAATTTCAAGAGTCATTTTTTTATGCTGCCATAATGTTAAGCCATCTGCAGCCCTCCACATTAAATAATTATAATTACAAAAATAAAACTTATCAATTAATTAATTAATTAATTAATTATGAACAAAGACCTGAAGGATATTTATAACATTTTTCTTAATTCTTCTGACCTCAAACAATGTGAGCATATATTGCGAGCTCATTTCTGTGCCACTTAAATTGGCAATACCCATTGAGTTTGATGTGCACTCACCTCAGTAATAATTCTTTTGGTAACTTCTTATTTAGTAAAGCATCTTCATCTACAGACACTTGGGATAACTGAAAGAAACAATATTTTATGGTCATAAAGAAGGTTTTTACACTCACCAAATTGTAAAAATGATAAAAGGGCACTTCCTCAAAGGGGATGTTTTTGTCAGTTCATTTCAAAATATAAAATCTTATTCAAAAAGTTTACATGTAAACAGAAAGCAGTATCAGAAGAACCAAAGACAGTCAGCAATGTAAGCATTTGGCACTAAAAGCTAAACAATGAAATTAGAAGTTTTTATGCAGAATAATAAAATTCTGAATTGACTGTATTATTGTCATTTCACAAGAGGCTCAGCAAGGATTTTTGAAATTTTATAGGATCTATAAATTCACTCTCTTAGTAAGACAGGCCAGTTATGCTCCATGGATATCAGTGAAAAAAAATCTCTCTTTTTTTTTTTTTTTTTTTTTGAAAAATAGTCTGTCCAAAATTTTAATAGGAGGTTTTCACAGATGGACAGGTACTATACACAGCCAAAGCCCTGCACCACAATAATAATAATCAATGTACTATGTACAGCACGTTGTACAGTGTGGCAACAGTAACAGTATTCTGCCTTCAGCAGTTCTTACAGGAGTGTGTCATATATTATTCATAACAGGCACCTGTTGAGGCCCTGGAAGTGGCTGGTGACATTGGAGCTGCAGCAAGTGACATTGGATCAATGGCTCACATCATTATTAGGCCAGGGATACTGAGAGGCAGGAAGACTCTTCAAGCTGTCAGCGCTTTTTACTTTTAGTTATAGATACTGTATATGAAATCTAGTTTTAATACCAGGCACTTGGTTGATAGCTAAGAAGTATGGCAAGACAAAGAAATTCATTCATCTGGGGGTTGTAAAGATCTCCGTTTCCTCACTGAGAGTTCTCTCTTCTCCACAGATAGTCTGATGTCTGAATAGGTTTCGGACGTTTCGGCACACAGCTTTGTCATTTTGGCATATTTTGGTCATGAATGTTGCTGTGTTTCCAATAAAAATGGGCTATCTCAAGGCAAACTATATCAGCAAGCCGTTTATTAGTGTTTAGCTTACTACAGGTAGCCATCAGTTAGAAAAACCCAAATGTAGTGGAAATGTGATGTTACTTTAAGACTTGCCATGGCACCTCCCTTATGTGCTTTTTTTCCAAATCAAAAATGGCATTGGTCCTAGTTGAACAGAGTGACATCAGACGATGTCAAAGTGACCCAAGAGAGATGTCAAGGTGACTCCCAGGGGGATGTCAAGGTGACCCCCAAGGGGATGTCAAGGTTTCAGAACAGCAGACTAACAGATCTGCAGATCAAATATGGCGACCCACTAAAAAGCTGGAATTGCTTCCCCACGGCATTATGCAACAACCATTCAAGGGGTCAGCCATATTTGATCCGTGGATCTGTTCTGAAACTGCAAAAAGTGGCTCCAAGGAGATTTCAAAATGATCCTGAGAATGTGAAAGTGACCCCAGGGGTTGTCAAAATGACCCCAGGCGATGTCAAAATGAACGCAGGGGCTGTCAAAGTGACCCCCACAGGACGGCACAATATGACCAGTAAAGGCACAATACTGACCAGCTGAAATAAGTACAATTTTTATGGCCATATTATTACGACTTGTTTACATAAATGACAAGTAAATGTACTAGTAATGGGCATAGGTTGTTACAATGGACCAATAAAAGTGACATGAAGGACTACAGTGATTCTGATGCTTGCTCAAAAGGTCAAACTTTAAATTCTTGGCATATACTGTCCAGCAATGAAAAAAAAAAATTAGGGTAACAATTTCTTTATAAACATCAAGCTTCTGACTGATAATGAAAATAAAATCTGCACTCAGACAGGGTTTCACTATTTTGGTTCTAAAATGTGACAGAAGACTATAAATCACATTAATATGATAGAAAAGTGAAAGAGAAAGCATATTTCATCCACAATGAGAGTTTTTTGGTAATATCGCACAACCCATACATCAAGACAAAAGACAGACAAATTATGTGATTTTCACTCTGGTTATTCTTTCATTTTTCTTTTCATGTATCCTGTGCTCAAGTTTCAAAGGCATGTTCAATATCCTTACTTACTAGTAAAGATGAAATGAACACCACCACTCCAAAATGTTGGAATTTGAAATATTATTTTGCCAAAAGCAAGTAAAGAAAAAAATTTGGTCATGAAATAAAATGGATTCACAGGGTAAAATAAGAGTCCAATTATGGTGGCAATAAAACCATTACTGAATTCAAGTGGGTCAGCCATGTAAATTTGTACCTTTTTCTTCCATTTTTCTTCTTTTTTATTATTATTTTTTTAATTTTCTGGCATGTGTGAGTGTATGTATGGAGAGAGAGAGAAAGAGGGCATAAATGCAGTCACTGGACAAAGCTAAGTTAACTTTTTGTTAGTGCGTGAACAGATACGATTCTAACTTAGAACCTATCTGTATTCTGTATGGACCTCTTATGTCACTCACCACCGTCCAACAGAGGTCAAGAAGTTCAGCCTGAGATGAAATATGCCCCACACTCCATTATAGCTTTACATAGGCACACTGTGCTACATCCTCATCACAGCTCTTGCAAACACCACGGCCATTAGATAAAATCTGCTCTCTAGTTTAGTAACTCTTAAAAATGTACAGCGTCAGGTTTTTTTTTTTTTTTGTGTGTGTGTGTGTGTGTGTGTGTGTGTGTGTGTATGTGTTGGGAGGGAGGAGAAAGGGAGGAGGAAATTTCAACCAAATAGAATCCTACCAAAGTGTTAATTTCAACAGTCTTCCACCTTTATATATGTATGTCTCACAGAACACTATTTCCAACTGCAACAATGATAAGACAGCAAGGATATAATTTAAGTACATTTTGAAAGACAGCTAGAACCCAATTATCTGTCTATCATGACACCCATACCACTACAAACAGCACCGACTAGTTTAAAAACAACTTGTATGGCATTTTCAAGGGTAGAACAACATTAACTGTTAAAAATAGAGTAAAATATGTGAATAACATGACTGGCCCATGCAAGCAGCTTTCAAAACAAACCTTGTATACTCATCCTTACCATACACTGCCTCTCACTGCACACCCATTAAAAAATATCAACAGCTTTTTTTTTCAGATTTCATTTACAATTTGCTAAATTTTTAATGTCACAACAAAACTTAAAATTTGCCATATCCGTCCCTCGCTGATCTCTTTGTGTAAAATGGATCCTAAATTAAGTGAATCACATCCTGTTATGATGCATTTCAGTATAAAAACGAGTACCGTTTTATTATTTTTTAGTGAAAACATTATTAAGTGTACTCTAAATTTCAGTCATTGTTAAACAAAATTCTACTTCGGACTTCGCCTGTTATTATTCTATCTATCGCACGAGGAAAGAGAATAAAGACTGATGTGTCTATATTTAATCATCTTTGTTTGACTGTGTTATAGTTATCTAGTATGCGGGCACGTGAGTCTGAAGACAAAGGAGCAAAGATACTGTGCACACTCCATGAGTTAAATCCAAATATCCTCAAGGATATTCGGCCAGTAAGTACTGTGTATGTTATTTTCGGGACTAAAAATTATACAGCATTATCCTAATTGATTACCCAAAGCATTGTACTCTAATTAAACATATGTGATAGGTCCCCCAGGAATAAAAATCTACGGCTAGGCACTGCTAAGCCTCCGTGCCAGGACAAATCTCGAACGACAACAAAAGCGTCAAAATATCCGTCCCGTAGCCTGACCCCCTTCAACTTACCTCAGACTTCGTTTTCACGTGGTTTGAGTAGTGATTTGTGAAATGACCGTTGTGACTGTGGTGGTTCATGGTCCCAATCTATGATCTAGCCAAATTCCATCGAAAACAGCTGAAAAATCTAATGCAGCAATGAAAATAAAAACACCAAGGATTAAGCCCAGAGTAGTTTGTCAGGCGTGTTGTGATTGGCCTGTGATGACGCCGTCCGAAACGAGACTTGCGTATCTCTTTGATATTCTGTCAATAATAAAGGTGCAATTTATTTAATATATAGAAACCTATAACGATATCAATTCCTATGTAGATTGATTTAGATCAAAATATTCCACTAATACCCTAAGCAAGTTAACAGGGTTAATTGGCAGGGTGGAAAACATCCAATCACATGCACCCTTTTATCTGCCATGACTTCATGTTTGTTTTGATTTTGACACATGACGTCATAGTTCGGGAAATTCGCACGTGATAAGGAATGTAACTTTAACATTATGCTTACAACTGTTTTTCACGTAATTATTCAAAGAAATTGTTTTTCAAACAAATGAATAATAAATGCAAGAACTAAGCATTCCAGAAGAAAATAAATCTAGGCACTTTTCATGCGCACTGGTGTAATTTTAACTTTCCGATTTATTTCAGATAAAATATCACAGTTCTAACATGATCCTTCCCTCTACTGGTACCAAAGCCGCAGATTATTATTACTCTGTACACTTTTTCCTAAAGCTGGGCAGTGCAGAAAAGTCCCATCANCAATTAGGTTATGCAACCTTGTAATGTGTCAGACTTCTAATATCCAGCTTTAAGCAATCTGGTTATTAATATTGAGAGATGCTGAATGCTTCTGGTTTATTAAATAAGTTGTATTGGCTCAATGGCTGCAACAATGCCTCCACACGCTGGCAGTTTATTAAAGCAACGTTATCTTTATTATCAAGACACATACTTTAGAGCACCATCTGTTATACACTGACATCCCTTCAAACTTAGTGACTTGAGAAATCCTCCACAACGTCTTGATATGTTCTCTACCACTGGACCCTGAAATATACACACACACCCATCACCTGACTTATATCACATGACTTGAAATATATATCACATGACTTGAAATGTATATCACATGACTTGTGATAGGCATGTACCACATGACAGGAAATAGGTGACTTGAAATATAAACATACATGTATCACGTTACAAAGGCGTTTTCTTTTGAATGTCATAAGTAATTCTACTTACAGTACTAGTAATTACAAGCAGAATTCAGCCACCACATTCATTTATTGCACTAACTCCATAGGGACTCTTGCTGAATGCAATCTGATTTAAAACAACCACTATGCATTCTCCTGGCATTGAGTTCAATAAAGAAAAGGTGGTTCTGATAGAAGTACAATGGAAACAAGAGGAGGCGTGTCACTCTGTTAAAATTAACTGCATTCAGCAAGTGTTCCCATGGAGTAAGTACACAGTAGTTAGGTCGACAAGTACATTGGGAACTGGCCCTTACTATCCATCTTTATCAGACCCTACCTCTACATCAGTCTGGAAATCAAACAAATCCACTCTCTGCCAGTTACTGCCATCTAATGCTAGGATGTTCCAATACTGAAAGTATAAATAATAATTATCTATGATAGTGTGTGTGCGTACGTGCGTGCCCGTGTGTGTGTGTGATCTAATATATCATCCCCTTACTGATCAGTATCATCTAAACTGTGAACACAAACATTAAATACATGAACTGACTGGAATTAAACAGAAGAAAAACTCTTACCTTTGCCACCTGTGCACATCTGCAGAGTGTTACCACATCCAAATAAGAAAATATCCTAGAAAATAAAGAATATTTGGGTCAAGATATTTACTACCTAACAGAACTACATTTCTGCTTGTACTGAATACCTAATCTGATGTATCAGTCTGTCTCTTAGACCCCATTTCCAGAGATTAGATCGATCGACTTTAGATCGACCTAACTCCCTGGGGGTTCACGCTAAATAGCTGTCAGCCGTGTGGACACGAAAGTTAATTACCCCCTTACAGCTTGTAGTAGGCGGGGCGGACATTTAAGCCGGATTATCTGACAGTAATCTAGTGAGACTCCCCGCGGGGATAGATCGATCTAAAAGCTCTGGGAATACAGCCTTAGGGCCTTTTCACACCCTGAGTTACACGTATTAGTACTAGTATTAAATATCACTTCAATGAACTGGTGAGACCTAGCATGTGATTTTGCTGTATATGTGTGTACTTTATGTGTGCGTGTGTGTGGGGGGGGGTCACTCACCTTCACAAGTTTACTCCTTAGATTCTCAACCAATCAAAATTAATCTGGTTAACTGTGTACATGATAACGTGATATAAAAGCTATTAAGTTGTCAATCTCCTTTTAAAAGTATTTTAATACAAACAGGTGTAACGCACACATGGTGAGAAAAGGACCTTGTAGAGACTGTAGCAAGATAATCATAATATTACACATGTACTGTACATGGATAACACATTTTGAAAATAACATAACATATTATGAAAAAGTCCTCATTTCCCACAAAGACCTACATAGATAGCCCTGTCCCAATCTGATCAATGATCCGAAAAAGACAATGTCCTGATTTGACCTTTGACCTAGATAAAAGGCACTGTTATCCAACCGGAAACCTGTACAATATCCAGCATCCCAATTTAACCTTAAGACTCAGCTCTGAATCAATATCCATATAGATAGCATGTACTTGAGCAGTCTAATAGGTAAGCTAAGGTCCATGAGAATTACAGTCTTTCCCATTAAGATTCATTCACGGCAGAAAATATTGAGATAAATGCCAAAGTGCCATATGATAAATGGATACAGTTATTACTACTGTAAGAAAAAGAATGAAACCTCCACATTGCACACACAATCACTTGTGCACAAACTGAATTTATGTAGCACCATTCCAATTAATGCAATCACCTGATATATATATATATGATTTTTCAAAACAAAAATATTTTCTATCTTTGGAACTGCCCCCCTTTTAACAACATTTTCCATGTTCTGACTCATATTTTCATCAGGATATGACTGACGCTTGCCACACAGTTGGTCTGTGTGAACTTCTTTAATCCAAGACTGAAAACTAATCACCATCTTTAATACGAACTCCTGTATATTAACTTAAATACAAATCGCATCAGGAGGATACCATATACTCAGCTAGTATTCATGATGGAAAGACAAATCTCCACATGTATATACTAGCTAGTAGCTGCCTTACTTGGAAAACAATATTGAGCACATCATTGTACATTGAAACATTTTCAAAAAAAATAAAAATAAAATAAACAAGTTTTAAACTCCTGATGTTAGTAGAATGAGAAAAAGCTGATGATTATATCAGTATACTGGAAACAAGAGGATATATGTGTTCATCTGTTGACCTGATTGCTTTCAGCGAGAGTCCTCGCAGATTTATTGTGCCTTTGCAAGGTCAAAAAAAATTCACTGTGAACAGTCTAACAGACTAGAATAATTGTCCTTTCTTTACTTTTTAACTCAACAGTATTGATTGTAATCAATATGCTAGTCCACAGCTTGTTGTCCAGGCATGGAGCCCCTCAGAAGACTGGGAAAGTTAGTTTAAATTAATTTCCAAGACATCAGATTAATGAAGAAAACACCAAAATAACATGGTGCAAAAGTACAGTCTGGACTTGGTAATTTGAAAAGGAAATTCCCAAAAAAGTTGCATTAGTAATTGTACATCCCTTCCATCTTCACAATACTTCCAATGCCATCACTACTTAGTTACATCTAACAGTACCAGAGAAATCTGATGAAAAAATATTCAAATAAATAAATAAATAAATAAATAAATAAATAATAACAATAAATAAATAAAATTTCAATTCTTAAAACACACATCTTTGCTCATGGGTTTTTGTATCAATTGATAAGCTTATCAGAAGAAAAGCAACGGACTTTGTGAATATGTCTGCATATTTGCTGATCTAATTTCAAGTGTCATTTTTTTATGCTGCCATAATGTTAAGCCATCTGCAGCCCTCCACATTAAATAATTATAATTACAAATATATAACTAATTAATTAATTAAATATGAACAAAGACCTGAAGGATATAACATTTTTCTTAATTTCACAAACCTCTGTCCAAGGTTTCTTTTCTTTATAAATGCATTTCCATGTCCTTTGATTAACAGACTACTGTATATATGACACATGCTGCACTTATTACTTTCTACTTATTAGTAATAAAACTATCTGGTGATACAGGGCCATATGTTATAAGATTACTTGAGGTCAGAGGTTACAGGTTAAATGACCTTTAACTTTGACCTCTCATTGGTCTTTGAACTTACAATACCTTCTGACCTCAAACAATGTGAGCATATATTGCGAGCTCATTTCTGTGCCACTTAAATTGGCAATACCCATTGAGTTTGATGTGCACTCACCTCAGTAATAATTCTTTTGGTAACTTCTTATTTAGTAAAGCATCTTCATCTACAGACACTTGGGATAACTGAAAGAAACAATATTTTACGGTCATAAAGAAGTTTTTACATTCACCAAATTGTAAAAATGATAAAAGGGCACTTCCTCAAAGGGGTTTTTTTTGTCAGTTCATTTCATAATATAAAATCTTATTCAAAAAGTTTACATGCAGTATCAAAGCAGTATCAGAAGAACCAAAGACAGTCAGCAATGTAAGCATATGGCACTAAAAGCTAAACAATGAAATTAGAAGTTTTTATGCAGAATAATAAAATTCTGAATTGACTGTATTATTGTCATTTCACCAGAGGCTCAGCAAGGATTTTTGAAATATTATAGGATCTATAAATTCATTCTCTTAGTAAGACAGGCCAGTTATGCTCCATGGATATCAGTGAAAAAAAATCTCTCTTTTTTTTTTTTTTTTTTTTTTTGAAAAATAGTCTGTCCAAAATTTTAATAGGAGGTTTTCACAGATGGACAGGTACTATACACAGCCAAAGCCCTGCACCACAATAATAATAATCAATGTACTATGTACAGCACGTTGTACAGTGTGGCAACAGTAACAGTATTCCGCCTTCAGCAGTTGTTACAGGAGTGTGTCATATATTATTCATAACAGGCACCTGTTGAGGCCCTGGAAGTGGCTGGTGACATTGGAGCTGCAGCAAGTGACATTGGATCAATGGCTCACATCATTATTAGGCCAGGGATACTGAGAGGCAGGAAGACTCTTCAAGCTGTCAGCGCTTTTTACTTTTAGTTATAGATACTGTATATGAAATCTAGTTTTAATACCAGGCACTGTGGTTGATAGCTAAGAAGTATGGCAAGACAAAGAAATTCATTCATCTGGGGGTTGTAAAGATCTCCGTTTCCTCACTGAGAGTTCTCTCTTCTCCACAGATAGTCTGATGTCTGAATAGGTTTCGGACGTTTCGGCACACAGCTTTGTCATTTTGGCATATTTTGGTCATGAATGTTGCTGTGTTTCCAATAAAAATGGGCTATCTCAAGGCAAACTATATCAGCAAGCCGTTTATTAGTGTTTAGCTTACTACAGGTAGCCATCAGTTAGAAAAACCCAACTGTAGTGGAAATGCGACGTTACTTTAAGACTTGCCATGGCACCTCCCTTATGTGCTTTTTCCAAAACAAAAATGTCAGTGACCCCAGTTGAGCAGTGACATCAGATGATGTCAAGGTGACCCCAGGGAAATGTCAAAAAGCACATTCAGAACAGCGGACTAACAAATCTGCAAATCAAATATGGCTACCCACTAAAAAGCTTGCCGCCTAAGACACTGAATTGCTTCTCCACGGCATTATGCAACAACCATTCAAGGGGTCAGCCATATTTGATCCGCGGATCTGTTCTGAAACTGCAAAATGTGGCTCCAAGGAGATTTCAAAATGATCCTGGGAATGTGAAAGTGACCCCAGGGGTTGTCAAAATGACCCCACGGGATGTCAAAGTGACTCCCACAGGACAGCACAATATGACCAGTAAAGGGGCAATACGTATTGACCAGCTAAAAGAAGTACAGTTTTCATGTCCACATTATTATGACTTGTTTACATAAATGACAAGTAAATGTACTAGTAATGGGCATAGGTTGTTACAATGGACCAATAAAAGTGACATGAAGGACTACAGTGATTCTGGTGCTTGCTCAAAAGGTCAAACTTTAAATTCTTGGCATATACTGTCCAGCAATGAAAAAAAAAAATTAGGGTAACAATTTATTTATAAACATCAAGCTTCTGACTGATAATGAAAATAAAATCTCCACTCAGACAGGGTTTCACTATTTTGGTTCTAAAATGTGACAGAAGACTATAAATCACATTAATATGATAGAAAAGTGAAAGAGAAAGCATATTTCATCCACAATGACAGTTTTTTGGTAATATCGCACAACCCATACATCAAGACAAAAGACAGACAAATTATGTGATTTTCACTCTGGTTATTCATTCATTTTTCTTTTCATATATCCTGTGCTCAAGTTTCAAAGGCATGTTCAATATCCTTACTTACTAGTAAAGATGAAATTAACACCACCACTCCAAAATGTTGGAATTTGAAATATTATTTTGCCAAAAGCAAGTAAAGAAAAAAATTTGGTCATGAAATAAAATGGATTCACAGGGTAAAATAAGAGTCCAATTATGGTGGCAATAAAACCATTTCTGAATTCAAGTGGGTCAGCCATGTAAATTTGTAACTTTTTCTTCCATTTTTCTTCTTTTTTATTATTATTTTTTTTAATTTTCTGGCATGTGTGAGTGTATGTATGGAGAGAGAGAGAAAGAGAGCATAAATGCAGTCACTGGACAAAGCTAAGTTAACTTTTTGTTAGTGCGTGAACAGATACGATTCTAACTTGAACCTATCTGTATTCTGTATGGACCTTTTATGTCACTCACCACCGTCCAACAGAGGTCAAGAAGTTCAGCCTGAGGTGAAATATGCCCCTATAACTCCATTATAGCTTTACATAGGTACACTGTGCTACATCCTCATCACGGCTCTTGCAAACACCACGGCCATTAGATAAAATCTGCTCTCTAGTTTAGTAACTCTTAGAAATGTACAGCGTCAGGTT